AGTCACGGAATAGTTGATTTCGGCTTTGCTAAGGGTTCGGCTTGAGTAGGCAATCACGTACTCTTGGAAGCCGTCTTTCTTCTGTGCAAGAATAGCGCCTTGCCCGACACCACTAGCGTCAGTGTGGATCTCTGTGGGTGCCGATGGGTCTTAGTGTCGCAGAATAGGCGGCGACGTGAGGAGGCGGCGCAGTTCATTGAAAGAATCGTCACAGGTGGCAGACCAGGCTGAAAGGTCTCTAGAGCCGGCGAGGAGCTTGGTCAAAGGAGCGATGATCGTCGCGATATTGCGGACGAAGCGCCGGAAGTAAGAGCAAAGGCCTATGAAGCTTCGGAGCTCTTTTATGGTGGTCGGTTTGGTAAACGCTGAAACGGCTGTAAGTTTGGAAGGGTCAGGAAGAATGCCGTCTTTTGAAACCACGTGGCCAAGGATCGTAAGCTTGCGAGCGGCGAAATGGCACTTCTTCAGATTCAGTTGCAGCCCCGCCGCAGAAATACACGCGAGGACTTTCTCGAGGCGGGTTAAATGGGTTGCGAAATCTGTTGAAAAGACGACAATGTCATCCAAATAACAAAGGCAAACGTTCCATTTGAGGCCTCGAAGGATAGAGTCCATCATTCGCTCGAAAGTAGCTGGCGCGTTGCAGAGGCCGAAGGGCATGACTGTGAATTCGTAAAGCCCGTCGGGCGTGATGAAAGCTGTTTTTTTCGCGATCGGCCTCTGCCATGGGTACCTGCCAGTATCCAGAGCGCAGATCTAAAGAAGAGAAAAATTCGGCTCCCTGTAGGCAGTCCAAGGCATCGTCAATGCGTGGCAGCGGATAGACGTCCTTGCGCGTAATTCAGTTGAGACGTTGGTAGTCCACGCAAAACCTGATGGATCCGTCCTTCTTCTTCACCAACACAACTGGAGAGGCCCAGGGACTGCTTGACGGTTCGATTATGCCACGTGTCAGCATGTCGTCAACCTGTTCATTGATGGCACAGCGTTCGGTAGTTGACACACGATATGTGGAGGAGCCGGGGTTCCCATCACCCTGGAACTTCGCAATCAAACGCTACCCAGCACCTCCACCACTTAAAATAGAGGTGTTGTACGTCGAGAAAGGTTCAGACGCAGCTTGGCAAAATGTGCTTTATCAGGCAGGTCTGGCTAATGGCGAGCGGCGTGCGCGAGCTACTACTACAGCCAACGATCATCATCGTCTTCTTCATCACCAGCAGAGCGTCCGTATTCAGATTCATTACAATATATATATATATATATATATATATATATATATATATATATATATATATATATATATATATATATATATATATATATATATATATATATATATATATATATATATATTGAGAGAGAGAGAAGTGTCTGTATAAATGCTGACACAATGAAATTTCTTATTTGTTAATTTGTTCGCGCGCAGCCACCACATATAAACGCCGAACCATCGATCGAGACAGCGGCAAGAAAACTCCACCAATGACGAACCCTGGGTGTGTTCCTCCTGTATGGAAAAATTTACCTTCACGAGGACAACAACAACATCGTCACGAGGACAACAACAACATCGTCAATAGAAGACACCTGTGCCGTGTATGTGGCAAGTCGTTCAAGTATCCTGTCTATTTCAAGAGGCATTACATTCGCCACACCGGCGTAAGGCTTTATTCGTGGGATGTGTGCGGACGAAAATTTTTTTAGCGACAACTAACTGAACGAACACAAGATACTGCACACAGCCACAAAGCTGTATTGTTGCCAGCAATGTGATGCTAAATACAAGCGTAGACAATACCTCCGCAGACACATCAGGAAAGCACACTCGGGGCGCGACACCACCGCACTCACGACAAAAGAATCTGCCATCCCGAATGAGGAATCTGCACTCCCGACAAAGGAAGCTACTTTTTCAACAAAGGTACCTGCACTTCCGACAGAGAAACCTGCACTCACGACAAAGAAAACTGTACTCCCAACAAAGGAATGTATACACTCCCGACAAAGCAACCTGCACTCCTGACAAAGGAATCTGGCAATTTCTAGCTGTACTGCTGAGCTTGGATGTATGTTCCGAACTAACAACTAACATCCTGGCAAACACATAAGGACTCATCTTCACTACTGGAAGCGACGTTTGAAATGGCTCTAAGTAAGAAAACATCAATATTATACCCTTGTTACCCCTATTAACAAGCCAGCACTGTGTAGAGTATGGATGTAGGACCTTGAAAACATGCCAACGTCGGTTTATGTAGGGGAAGTTATTAGACCAATTGTAATGTAAATGTGAAGAAAGAAAAGTGGGTGAAAAGATAACTTGTCATGGGCAGGATCCGAACCTGTGACGTTATTCGAAGGTCGCAGGTTCGGATCCTCACCACGGCAAGTTATCTTTTCACCCACTTTTCTTTCTTCCCATTTACATTACAATTGGCCTAACAACTTCACCTATACTTCCTTTGGCATTATTCTCTAATTATATCTCAGTGTTATTGTGTCAAGATACGGAAAAACGATCCCTTAGGTATACACTACTTTCCCTTATTCATTAACGAGGGTCTCGTACTGGCAGACTTTGTGCCGTTAGGTTGTATACAAGGGGCTATTGGTCAGCTGTCAGCTCGTAATAAGTTCACGTGCTATCTGACGCCATACAGGCTCATAAAGGGTGTGCTACACTCGCCGCTATGACTAAGGTGGCGCTGACTGACACTCCCATGTTTAAATTCACATATAAACCCAATAATGTGGCTGGGGGGATAGCCGCCATGGTAGCTCAGTGGTAGAGCATCGAATGCGTTATTCGAAGGTCGCAGGTTTCACCCACTTTTCTTTTTTCACATTTACATTACAATTGGCCTAATAACTTCAACTTTACCTATACTTTCCTTGGCATTATTGTCTGTGAGGTCTCATTATATATATATATATGTGTGTGTGTGTGTGTGTGTGTGTGTGTGTGTGTGTGTGTGTGTGTGTGTGTGTGTGTGTGTGTGTGTGTGTGTGTGTGTGTGGTGTGTGTGTGTGTGTGTGTGTGTGTGTGTGTGTGTGTGTGTGTGTGTGTGTGTGTGTGTGTGTGTGTGTGTGTGTGTGTGTGTGTGTGTTTGTGTGTGTGTGTGTGTGTGTGTGTGTGTGTGTGTGTGTGTGTGTGTGTGTGTGTGTGTGTGTGTGTGTGTGTGTCCGTCCAAATAATTGTGTAGTTTCACAAAGTAGCATGAAGATAGCATGAAATTTTATTCACAATGCCAACCCTTCATTATTCTACAGAGAAGCGTGGTATTCGCTATACACTTGCAAGTAATTATGTGCGTTTTGTAGATGCTGTGGCTGACGATGAAGTATTATGCCTGAGGCCTTTGTAATGGGTTGGAGCAATGGACAACACCCGCTCGTTATGCAATTCCCATGGTATGACGCCTGCAGTTGTTCCCTCGCTGTTCTGAAACGCTTTGTTACACATATTAATGCGATCCCTTACCCGACAATCACTTTTCAACGGAGTTTCAAGCACCGGTGTGGCTCTGCGGTAGAATACTGGGCTGGCACGTAGCGGACCGCAGCGGTTCGCATCTCAATCTATCTTTGGTGTTGTTTTTTTATTTATTTCGCGCGAAACTGGCTACGGACACCGGTGGCCCTTCTTTCGGTTCCTTACCAGCTTTCGCTTCAAAATACGTGACTGAAATGTTACTCACCCTGTTGAAATGGCAAACAGACCACACTTTATATGCATTGATGGCATTCACATGACGCCAAGAAGCACCCACCTCACATATTCAGGTAGCAGAACATATCGCGGCGTCATAGGCGTCAACGTTAGCAATCCACAGCGCACCACGGCACGAACAACTCGAACAGCCGTAAACCTAATTTCGTTTCAGAAGAATGGCGATTTGGGCTAGTTGGTTTGAATTCATGATAAAAAGGGGTGCAGCGCGAGCACGAAGGTGCTAGAAGAAACAGACGAAAGTCGAGGCACGGAAGGCAAAGAGGACAGCGCTCGTGTTGTCCTCTTTGCCTTCCGTGCCTCGACTTTCGTCTGTTTCTTATAGCACCTTCGTGCTCGCGCTGCACCCCTTTTTATCATAATTTCGTTTCATACGTAGTCGTCTAATAATTTTGGACAAGCTGAAGCAGTTATTCTACTTGGTCATCCGCGGTCCACGTGGGAATATATATCCTGATAAGCCGACTACTCTAAATTATGTCCGTTGAACAAAGGCAACCAATTTTAAAGCATTCTCTCTCGCATCGAGCTGATCTTAAGGACCGCCGCCAACCCACCTGCCACACGAGCATCGGTATGAGTTCGATTATCATTTGTAACGCACGTTTTTCGCCACCTTGTAGAGTTCGTGACTGAACAGCTGTTTCGCATCTTCCAGAATTTCTATTAGCATCTTGGCCTGCCCATCTTGGGTAGGAACAAGGAATGTGTGCACCATTTTCGGCTCGTCCGATTACTGGACGTGTTTCGACCTGAGCGCGTAGACTTTCGGGCCGTCCGGGCTGTCGTAGTTCCCCACGAGCCGCACGTGCGGCAGGACGAGGTCCTGAACAGCCTTGTCAGTCGTCACCAGCACGCTTTCCCTGCCGCTAGTGAACATGGACAAGACCCAGTCACGCTCTTTTTTTCCTTCCCGCCGTGAAGGCTAATGGCGGGCCAGCCTCGCCTCCGTAGCTTCAACGCAATCTTCTCAACCTTCCACTTAGTGTCGGCGAACACCACGGCTCTGTCTGCCTTTTCCCCCGAGGATGTCGTTCAAGAGATCGGCCAACTTGGATTCCTTCTCTTCTTCCGGGCACACGTAGACGGTCATTTCCACGCTGCTTCCCACGAGCAGCGGCGTGCTACCAAACTTTATTTCGACATAGTCACCGAGCATGTCTTCAACAAGTGCCTTCATACTCTTCAGCCAAGAAGTTGCCCACATTATCGTTTGGTGGTGGGCCGGCAAAGCTCCACGATCTTGAGAACACGGGGCTTGTAGCCCCTATAAGAGCATGCGGTCTACTTCATCGAAAACAAGGTACGTGCACCGGTGGAGGTTCACCACGCCTTCTTCGAAGAACTCGATGAGGCATCGAGGCATGGCCATGAGGATGTCGCAGCCTCCCCGGTGCTCAGCGTACTTGACTTTCTTCCGTTCACCGTTCATTGCGCATACACTGCGCGTCGCGGCATGCTCGCCGAGTTCTGAGGCTACCACGTGAATCCGCTTGGCCAGCTCATGCGTCGGGGCGAGAAGAACGGCAATGAGTCCTTCGAGCCTCTGTCGGGCCGGCTGCTGCCTGACCTGAATGACGGCCGGAAGGACGTAGGCGAGCTTCTTGTGCAATCCGACCTCCACTATGCCGAGAAAGTTCCGGCACGAGAGTGCAACGGGCCAGCAGTTGGCCTCGATGGACGTCGGAGACGTGCAGTTGCGTAGGGCATCGATTCCCCTGACGACGAAGTCCGGAAAGCTGGACTCTTCAAAGGCAAGGATGGGTTTCGGCACATCGCCACCTTTCACCCTTACGCCGTTGGAGTTTCTGTAGGCTTCCACTTCTGTCATAGACCGGCTCGCCGTGGCAGGGTGTTCCTCGTAGATATTCTTCTCGAACGGCTGCAGCTGGATATTCTGCCAGTTGGGCTTGCGAAGGAACCATCCCACCTTGCTCTTCCGAAACAAGTAGGAGTTATGCAACTTACCACAAGGAATTTGGTTATGGACGAATTCACCCTTGATTCGTTTTTGTTGTTTCGGCATAAAGAACACCCCCATGAAGCCTAAGACATCTATCGTGCTCTTCTGAGGAAGAAGCTGGACCGTTCTGGTAGTCGGCGGCGTGATTGCTCGGTGCCTGACAGGGGAGCTTCTTTGTTGATGATAGTTGCATCGTAAGATGTGGCACATGCCCACTATGGGGCCGGGTCCCAACATTTAGGATGCACGAACGCATTCGATGTGTTACATCTTAATGAGCCAAGCTGAGTGACGAAAAATTAGAAATTGCAATAGACGCTAAGAATAAACAACAAGGTATCCAGCAAGCGGATCCCGCATTGTGCGCGGCAGTCAAGTTTTCTATCACAGAGCTAGGCTATTGCTTGAAAGAGCTTTAACAAAAAAAAAAAAAAACGCCAAGCCTTCTCTGAAAGCGCAGCACAATCACAGCAAAAGCATGAAGAGCGCCATTTATAGAACCTGTTGCAAACTCTCTTGGGGCTACCAAAACAAGTACGCTTATGAGGTATTCACTTCGCCATTAATTGATTTGGGAGCTGTTGACTACGAAAAATTATTGCCGAGTCCTTCGTAATAAGTTGGAATCACTCAACGACCCATTCTAGAAGCAATTTATATTTTGTGTGATGCCCGGTTACACAATTCGCAATCTGCGAATCCTGGTTGTTTTTGCTCTTCTACCATGCTGCCTAACGTACGTTAACGCGGTTCCTTCTCGGCAACGCTTGTATAGGGTTTTTATGTATATGTTCCGGCTGATCAAACGCTTTCACACATGTGTCGCAATAAATAGGCAATCATACAGGTAAGAAAGTTAGAAAAACTTGTTTATATGCACAAATGCTTTTTATAAATGTATGCCATTTAAGAATTCCTTCATTGCTGCTAAATTTGTACATTGATTCTGGTAGCAGAATCACACTGTGATAATTACTGCAAGTGTGTTCAGTGGTGTTTTATTGCAGAAAGAGTTGACGTTTAAATCTATCACTTTGTACTTGATAACCCATTCCGAAAAACAGCATCCCCATGTGCCACAGGTTTTAAAGCTGTTACATATGTAACTATACAGGCAACTCTAGGTCACTAGAGTACTGCGGAAGCATTGTAGATATATGCAAATAATTGTCCTTGAATTAGTAGTTGTGCTCAACTTTTTCTTTAGGCAAGAACTTCAATGCGACATATAAATATGAGTTTAAAAAAGTAGCTACTGCATGTCCGTAAAGCGAAGACACAGTGATTAAGATTTCTTACTATAGAGTAACGGCAGAAGCAAGTTACCGTCACTTTTTTAGGGAAACGCACTAACTTTTCTATTGGTAACCAAGAGCGGTAAGGCATTCTTTATTCTTTGACACAAAGAGTAACGTATTTAGTCACTTTTTTTTCGGTAACGCATACAACAATGAAATTGTCAGATAAAGATGAGGACAGGGCATGTGTGGTTCATACAAAATTTGCCTGCGTGTATGCATAGAAAGTGTTTGCTAGAATAGCTGAATTATTGCGAGTCTGTCTAGCTTGGAAAAGGATGACTCTGTGTGCTCATTTCGTTTATGCTTTCCTATGCAACGCACAACACTGGCCACCACGGAGGAAGAGCAGTTACATACACACACGGTGCTCCACTGCTGACCCGAAGGTGTCGACTCGGCCGCGGCTGTAGCATCTTGGCGGAGGCTAAATGGTAGAGGCCCGTGTACTGTGCGACGTCAGTGCACGTTAGTGTACCAGATGATCAAAATTTTCGTAGCCCTCCACTACAGCGTCTCTAATTATCATGGTTTTGGGACGCAAGATCCCCGACATTATTATTATTACCTCCACGAATCTCTTTCTATGAATCGTACGCAGGTTCAGATGCGCGAGAGATACTGAAAGCGATTCCTGCGAAGCGTGGGACACAGCATCGCGGCATACTGAGTCGCTGTGACCCACGTGGAAGCTTTTGTGTGTATACGTATCAGTGAGTGACCTGCGTAAAACTACGAAGTAACAAGTTACCCATCAAAACCAACCATTATGGATCTTTTCCGTCAATGCCTCATTTCTTAAAGCTCTACAGAAAACATTCACGACACAAAATTGTGATAATCGCAACTATTGCTCCATGCTCGCTCAATGCTAGGGTTATTCAGATTGCATCACTTCGGCCACTTTTGGTGTTTTATAAATCTGGGCTCACAAAAATAATGCTACATGTTTCTACATATTAAATTAGAACATGTGCTTGGCTTCGATTCTATAGAGTAAGGAAAATCTATGTCTTTCTTTCAATATAATCTTCAAAGTACTGTATTTTTTGCACATGTCCTTAGTTAAATATTTCTCTTCTAGTTTGACCTCCGAGTCAGTCATTCAGTTCGGCACATTTATTAAGGTAACATGTGGCGATGCCCTGAAAAATTTTGAGAAGCCCGACTTCTTTACGCATTGAGAAAAGAAATATAAAGCTTGAACACTGTTGAACTTTGCGTCCATTTCACAAATGTTATAATTAAAAGAACCGCAACAACACTGCAGAGTCATAACTTTTCTTCAGCAAAAACTAACCGTGTTACGCGCTGAAAAATTTTGCGACGTACATCTGTAAAAGTTGTTTTTTACACTCCAATAACTTTCAATAAAATACAATTTCATCGAAACTGTATTTTAGTGGAATTCGCAAGAAGCAGTTGCTGCTCAGCAATGACTTGTGCTTTTTTTTTTTTTTTTTTGACGGAATCGATAATATAACCACAATAATCCAGATAAAGAGGGACGCCATAGTGGACGGCTCCGGTAATATTTCTGTTCCTGTTTTCGGTGTTGTGTATTTATTCCACAATATCATACAAACTTGCCCAAGCTTCTCTGCTCCTATAAAAATTCATATTCGCTGGGCCGATGCAACAGTTCGGGCACAAGATCAAGTTTGGGTGACGAAGCGCAAGCAACAGCTGTGCACCGAGGATCAGGCAGCCTTTCGAGCAGAATGCAATTGACAACGGCAAGCCTAGGAAGAGGCATTGCGGGCAGAGAAGCGTTAACACAGAAGTAGCGGAAACGCATTGGCTGGTGCAGACGCCTGCTTTTGGCGGGAGTTTCTCGAGCGGCACTGTGGCTTAAGCTGCTACGTCTGCAACTGCCTGGGTCGCATGTTTCGGCTTTGCTGCTTAACCACAAATATAAAAAGCTTGGGCGCAGTTTTTCTTTTTTCAACATGATCCTATATTCTACAAGTTGGTAGGGCTGGTGAGCACACGCTTCACCGCAAACCCTCCTTGCCATCTATTAGTAGTGGAGTCCGAAAGAAAACAAGCTCGGTTTCCTATGGCGCAAAATATTAAAAGTTAAGCAAAGACATTTTTTTCTCACAAAGGCCTGTCCATGGTAAATATTTTTTTAAGTGTCGCGAGCAGATAACATTGAACATATATTAATGTGATGCAAAAAGAAAACAAACCACAGCGAGCCTTTCATAACACACATTTTACTGAACAATAGTCAAACAGGTATGTACACGTCCATGATTGAAGGTTGGTAGTTGTTCACAATATAAATGATTTCAGTACACTAAAAAGTACAGTCTTATTATCAACAATGTAGCCATATTCAGCGCGTATAGATTGCCGACTTAAGCTCGTGTCAAGTTTTCCCAGTCGCTTTTTTCTATAGAGCTTCCCCTTAACGAACCCAGTTTCTGTGGACAGAGCTTCCATGCACGCTTAGTTACAAGTCCAATGTGCCTGACTAGCAATCTGGCACTGAAACTTTGTAGCACACAGTAGAACAGTACCGTGTCATCCATGGGCATCGAGAGGGAGGTGCAAAAGGGGCACTTGCCACCCCCCTGCCTACCACCAGCACTCCTCCGCCCTACTCAGTAGGATGAAAACAGGTTTTGCACCCCAAAGACAAAATCCTGTGAACGCCCATGCCATCTCGTTTCTTGCTCCAGCAAAGCAAAGCAGTGTTTTACATACTTAGAAGGTGCTTCTTTAAATGTTGGTGCACAATGTCTGCAAGAGTGTGCGTACTTTAAAACATGCAACACACTGCTGAACCACCATCTAGTGTCGTTCACAAAAAGTTTTAAACCAATAATGCCCAAACCTATACATTTTGTTGTCCATGTTTTTTTGTGTTGGGTTAGCAAGACCCAAGAAGTTGCACGAAAAATGCCCCACAACTTGGCTTTTCGATTCCAGCAAATGGGAGGCAATATCGCACAACAAACGCGAGCTCTATTTTAATTTCATCTCAGTAAAGAGATGACATCACTACAAGATACTAACAGGCTTACCCGTATGAGTAGTACGATCGACGATGCTGAGCGACTTGAATGCGCTCAGTATGCACCATAATATAAGCAAAGATAAGCACACATAAATAAGGTTCAAGGTGTCAGTACCTCGCAGAAGCTGTACATATCCACAGCTTACAAACTTAGGCATCGATGTGTCGCAATGTCGGTGGATACAACTCTAGTGAAAAGCAACAGCGTTAACTTTTACATCACTACATGCGCTTAGATCATCTACTTCTGATGAAGTATTCAAGCTAGAAAATTTTGAAACTGCAACACCCTTTTTCCAACAGCTAATGCCCATTTATTAGTTGAGGATTTGCCATTTACAATAAACTGAGATTCTAATTTTTGGCCGCGTCCCGATTCCTGTTGGACGTTTCTACAGACTAATAATGTGTACCAAAGACCAGACACAAAAAAAAAGTAGAGCTGTTTTCAAGCTTAAAACATACCTGCTCTGTCAAACTTCTCCACTTGCGCTTCAGATATTCAAACAGACAAGCACCCGTCTTTGTATATCCATCAACCTTCCGTTAGTTTCGGGCGAGAACTTGCCAGCTTATTACGCAATATCACCATCAAGAGCGGTAAACAAAGAAGACCCGTCATGCGACCGCATACTTAGGAGTAAAGAGCAAACTACTAACTTTACACGTACGATTATTCGACAAATTACAAGGCTATTGATCAGTTTCGCAGCACCAAGGTGTAATCAGACTGAAATGCTGATACGCATGAAACCTGTTTTTTATATCGTATACGTCATAACAAATCTGATGGCACGAAATTTTTATTTGGGCAAAAGAGGAATGGATGTCCTAATACAGAATGGGCAATTCTCAAAAATGAGATTTCAGCTGTGGGTTCCACAGAAAACAATTGACAATTAATCACTGTGCTAATTATTTGAATAAAATTTAAAATATACTAATATAAATTTATTCCCTATGGCCAAAGTGAACATGACGATCTGACGAGGAATCTATATTACACAACTCGATGTTAAAATTTTAGACAATTACGATGGTAATTTCTCCAACTGAAGTGTCAGACTTACAACCTAATGAGAAGTGAACACTAGTCAAGATATTACAAGCGCTGAATTCAGTTTTTTTTCTGCTGCACGTTTGCCATCGTGGCTTTACCTGCACAACCTCATTCCATGAGGTCTAGGAGTGTCCACTTGAAAAGCAAATGCACATAGTGATGTGTGACAGATGATTCTTGAAATGAGAAACCACAGCAGAAAAAAAAATGAGCAAGTTGAAGCCAACAGTGGGCAAGTAGAAAGAATTCAGAGAAGAAACACGTCGCATACGGCCTTCTTTCCACCGAAACTTTAACGGAAGCTACGCATGATAAAAACAGAGAATGCCACAGGAATCACCCGTCCACCAACTAACAAGATCAAGGTGACCAAAAAAGAACAAGGCGACCAAAGAGCACAGTGACACTTTAGTACGCATAAGATAAAGTGAAAACAGATATATGTTGGAAATTGTCAAGGATGGATACAGCAACTATTTTCTTGTTAACAAAATTACTCAAGTTTCATAGTAAACTTTGGTTGCTATTTATGTTACAATATGCTATTTCTATCCTGTTTCACATCCATTATGTTTCAGCTAAAAGAGAGCGTCTGTACGGCATATTTCCCATCTATGTTAATGTCTCATACGACAACGTAACCATAATGACGATGCACGCGTGAACTCTTCCCTGGCAAGTTGCATCACCACAAATCAGGGGCTTGATGAGACACCCAGACTAATAGATGCTTGTTGGCGGAGCACTGCCGAAGAGCAAGCTCCACGAGATTGGCGTCTGCCACGGCCCTCGTCGTCCACTCTGTTCCGCACCATCGCTTGGTGGCTGCAAAAGAAAGCCATTCGTAATGAACCCCCTTTACAAACTGAATACAGTAAGTTAATAGACAGAGAATGCCCAATTAATATTTAAAGCACACCACCATTTTCCTGACTCACCCTAGTCGCCCGGCTGTTCAATTTTCAGGCACTTGAGTGTCTTAGCAGGCCAGTCACTGGGCTTGTTCGGACACGTTATAGGATACAAGCTGTCCCGCGATACTTCAGCTTGTGTAGATTTCAAACTGAAGGCTCACTGATTAAGTATTTATATCATGGAAATTAAATTCTCGGCTCCTTACATGTCCAAACTTCAATATGGTAATGAGGTAGTATTTGTGCGGGAGGCGTTGCCTAGTTTTGATCCTGCCAAGGTTATTTAACGTTCCCCTATACCTAAGTGCACAAATGTTTTTTTGTACTTTGCCCTCATTCAAGTGTGCCTGCCATGGCTGGGAGTAGAACTGAGATCCACAAGCTAACCAACCAAACTAACCCACTGCGACAGGTGTACTCATTCCATAAAGAATACTATGTGCTCGCTCCTACTACCCCTTATTAGAAATTGCTGCCGATGTGTTCTGGCGAACAAGTTGGCATGACGAATTCCAGATTCCCTCACACACATGCTCGTGAAGCCACACCCTCTCACCTGACAGAGGTGCAGCCACTCGTCTAATCGGTCTGCCAACAAGATTGCGTCCGGCGTGTTGTCTCCCTCGGAGCAGTACACAAGTAGAAGGACAACAGGAATCTCATCAGACACGCTGAAATCGTCAGAAGGAAAGCCAGCACTAAAATTACTCAAAGGACCTGTGTAAAGTTTGCAAGAACATGTGCCGAAACAACTGAGCATCAAAAGCTTAAAGTCGGTTTTCTGAGTCTCTTTCTGTCCTTCCAAGACACCTAAACATACTTCCACAGCACTGGATCTCTGTTGGCTACGATTATGCCATGTGCATCAGGCCTCCTTTGTCCACCTTAAAGTTCTACTTTGGCACATGATGAAGAAATGCAGTCAAACCTCATTATAACAAACTTGCACCTTACAGCAAAACTAGTTCATTATATCCAAAAATTAATTAGAAAGGTATATTTTTAACACTGTATCTATTGCGAGACTACTCATTTACTTCGTTATAACCGACGTTTTGTTATATCCAAGTGCACTATATCGCAGTTTGAGTATATACTGGTCTAAAAGAAGTAGGCCACCTGCAGCCCTGCGAGCAGCATGTGGCCCACAAGGCAGTATTATGCTGCCCCCGGCGCGACTTCACAACCCATGCTCGCCTCTTTCTGCTTCCCATCTGAAAGCGGACTTGACATTTGTGATCTCAAGTGGGGCTTTCACTCGTCATCTATGTTTGTAAATTGAAATTTGGGGGTATATGTGCACAAAATAGGGATTGGGAAATATGCCAGCTTTTTTATCTTTGCTACTCACCCTCCCCCACCCGTCTGGATCGCCATGTGGCCTTCCCACTGTGTCGGTTTATTTATTTACGCAAATTGACTTGTTTATTTATGCTTCACGCAATGTAGCCCTTTGCTTGAAAAAGGTTGTCGACCCCTAGTCTAGAGGGGATGCACTTAAACATCCTTACATGGCATGCGAGCAGTGCACAGAGTCAACATGGTTTGACACAAAACACGAGATCAACCTCTGCTGCACAGAAGGAATAATGCTGCAGAAAAGACGTAACAGAGAAAGCATGGTGCAAATAATGTCATGTCGCAGTAGTCGCAGGCACGAAAAATGCTGCTAGAGATGCTACCGGCATCGCACCTCTACTGCTCACCAACCAAGATGCTGCAGCCCTGGCTTTGGTTGAGCTGTACATGAAAAGGCTCATGGTGTGTGCGCTTCGTTTAACTAAAATCGCAGCCAAACACACTGTCTATCTATATGCCTTTCCAATCCTACATGCATGGGCTGTTGATGCATGTCTATATAGTGAGACAGCATGACAACAGCGGCACTGATTTACACATGACAAGTGTCTGTATAGGTCCTGTTATGTCCTATACAGGGTACCGGCATACGTACAGGTCATGTAGGTCTTTCCTTAGCCTTACTGTCTTGCCTGTATGCATTATATTTTTCACTTCATGTATTTTTTTTTATGTTAATGTGGCTTTTTTTGAATATCAAGTATCTATATTTCACACCTGGTACAGTCTGTTTGAGACTGCAGTATCAGTATGTAAAAATAAATAAATAATACAGGCGCCGACCGAACTTCCGGACCTGCTGGGAACCGCAAAGTAGTCTGAAAAATGGTACAGTCCAAAAAAATGATCAAGCCACGAAAATAAACTTTATTTGGATTGGAAAAGCCTAAACAGAATCCCCAATAAAACCATGCTTCATGGTGTTCTTGAGGATTAGCGAACTTGGTTCTATTTGGCCTACGGTAGCATCATTGGTAAGAGAATTGGCAATCGTTGTCATTGACCATTGTGGGCGGCAATTTTGGTGGCTCTATGGAACCAAGCAAACAAAACTTGATGCTGGTCCCAAAAATATGCATCAATCTTGCCTGTTTGTGGAGATTTAACAACGCGGTCTGGGCTCTTTTACGTGCACCGACACCGCACAGTACGTGAACCCCCAACATTTCACTGTTATCAAAACACTACCGTCGCGGCTGCGATCAAACCCGTGCGTTCCAGGTCAGCAGCTGGGCACCGTGACAACCCCCCCGGAGTGCTGCTGAGCAATCACGAACAGCAGTGAGCATGTGACATGCACGACGGCTCAAACACACTTTTCATGCCCCTAGCACGACCACGTGCGCAATGACGACCAGAAAAACAAACACTCAGAAAAAAAAAAGAACCTACCGACGTATGAATGATGATCATAAGGCCGACTAAAACAGAAAGATTTTCCTGTTTTGCTAGTCAAGGAAGATCAGACATAGCTTCCTAGAACTAGAAGATTGTGCGCACTTCCAATCTTGGAGGCTACACAACCAGACACTGCAAGCCAAACTTGACCAAGCCAACAAAAAAATCCAACACTGTGGCTTTCAAGATCGAGCGGCATAGCTCAAAACAAACGATTTAGTGCGGAAAATCGAACTTCAGAACATAAATTAGTCCAAAAAATCGGTCGCGAAAATGCATTAATGCAATGGGAACCTTCACAATTTATTTGTGAAGTCCGAAATTTCTAACAAGTTCAAATTTTTGGAGTCCCAAAAATCCGTCGGTGAATGTATTGTCTGTATAGTCTGTCATAATAAAAGAACAAAAAAAATCTTTTCTCACCTTTTCTCACTCTTAATTGAACTGGTGCATCTACGGCTATGTAGTACTTTGCAGTGTGGCTTTCAGTGCAACTCTGAAGAAACGTGGAACAAACAATGTTGCTGAAGCCTGAGTTATGACAAGGCCCATGCTTTGAGCTTTCTCATAGCAGTGGCTCTTGCATCTTTCTTTGTGCAGCAGCTTTTCATCATGTCAAGCCTCTATTTTACCCTGAACGTCATCCAGTTTGTCTGAATTTCAGTGTCAGTCATTTTCACAGTTCACATTGCAATAACAGCCAACGCGTCATCATCGTGGCAGCATCCCTACTGTTGTTGTTACAAGTGGTACGTGCCGACTGGCGTTGCACGGGGCTTGCAAAGCGACAGAATGCCAAAAAAGGGCGTAAGCAACAATGCATTTACGCAAGGCGTTGTCGCACTGAAAGAGTACTGCACCTAGATTATGACTGCTAGCATCAGTGTGAAGTATGGTGGGCACGTCTGGAGTCACAGTACTGTATCAAACATAAGGGCTTGCTTCAATGATGTTAAAAGGACCCTTAAACGGTTTTTGAAGCTTCGTCAGTGTTTAGGCTAAAGCGTCGACAAAATATTCGCATCACAAATTTAGCGACACGCCGTGTACCAAGGCAACTACAGACAATTATACCATCCTTCTCACCTCTCTTTGGCCTCCTCAACTCATGAGGCGCGCTGGCGATCGCAGAGCTCTCATTAGTGTGCGAGCCGATTTGACTTTTTGCCAGTCTAGACATCCGAAATCGCAGGTTGACAGGTTGCGCACAGTCTTGGAGGCCATCACATAGTGCACCGCCGTAGCACCCACGCAGTCCGGCAACAGAGACAAAGATTGTGGTGTGGTTCATATCTGCTCTGACAGGTGCCGCCAACCTACCAGCCGATCTTACTTCCGCGCATGCTCATGACGGACAATCAGATCAGCAGCTGGCATGCTCAGGCCAAGAGCATGTCGCTGAATGAATGGGCGGTTGAAAACGCATTTGGCCGAGTCGCACCGATCTGCAACGATTTGCAGCTTTAAAGAATTGTAATAAATTACACAGTTTATGCAGAGAGCTCAAATCGGTCTCTAAATAACTCTTGGGACTTGGTCTAGCAGCCTAATATGTTTGTACAAAATCGCCAAAACCGTTTCAGCGTCCCTTTAAAGCACTTTCACAGTCTTCGGACCTAACGAAGGGCACGTTACTCGCGAGAAGCTGAGGTAGTGGAGACGCAAGTTCTGCAAAGGTGCATATGAAGCCCCGGAAGTAAGAAGCTAACTAAAGAATGATACGCGGGTTTTTCTGACGTAGTCGATGAGAAAAGTCGGGGATGGCGGCAATCTTCTCGGGGTGCAGCCAAATCCCTTTACTTACTAAGTGGCCGGGTAGCTTGATTGTCTTGCTCACAAAGGTACTATTTTTTGTATTAAGCTGTAGACTGGCTTTTGCAAGGCATCTGAGGACTTCGTCGAGGACGTCGAGATGTTGAGAGAATGTGGATGAAAGTACTATGTCATTGAGATAGCATAGACATGTTTTCCATTTCAAACCATGCAATACGCTGTCTATCATGCATTCGAAGGTGACAGTACAAAGGCACGCTACTGCAGACAGCGTGAAACTGGGACCTTTGCCTAATTGCTACATGCCGAGCACTCACAGTCGTGTGTACCTTTATGATCTGTCCAAGACCCGCGCCGCCTGCATTAGTTTGTCGACCATATCATTGCGTTACTGACTTAGCAGATCTTGGAACCCACTCACCATTTGTCGAGCAGAGATCGAGTGATACCCGATCCAGGCATGAGCAGCACACCATCTGGGTTGCGTTCCCGCGTGACGGGGTCCTGCTTCTCCAGCCGTGTCCAATTCAGTGCCCGCAACTGAGCCTCCACAGGCTCGCCAACTGCTGGAGTGCAGTAGTAGTGCACTGAGTACCTGTCATAGATACAACAGAATAACTTATAGACTGCTACCATTATAAGTGGCTCATTTCTTAGTTCAATCATTCATTGATTTCAACAAGCCGAAATCGCATACACTCGAACCTCATTATAAGAAAGTTGCATCTGATATAAAAATGGGTTCTTTATAATCGAAATTTCGTAATAAAGGTATATTTCCAACACTCCCCTCAAACCTAGATATAATGAACCCAGATATAAATGAAATGTCGGTTATAATGAAGCAAATGAAGAATAGTCTTGCAATAGACAGTGTTAATAATTTACCTTTATAACAAATTTTCGGATACAACGAGCTTACTTTCGTGTCAGATGCAAGTTCTTTATAATGAGGTTTGAATGTATATCTATTTCAAGGCTGTTCTTCATTTACTTCGTTATAACCAATATTTCATTATATCCAGGTTTATTTATATGATCCATTCACCATACCTTAACAATTTGTCTGCTGACACTAAAATTTTTTTTTTGCTACACATAAACACAAGTCCTTGTCAATTATGGTTGGTCCGCCATTGTAGGAAGGCCCAAACCTCAGCATTGTATATAACACAAGCAACCCCTCCGACACCTCTAAGCGATGAGAATGCGCACTTTGACTAGATATCTGATGCCAGACTTACCTAGGGAGGTCGGAGGGGTTGGTGAACTGTGAAAGGCAGCTGGAAAGCATGATGACCAGACGGAACCTCTCCTGCTTGATCCATTCCGTTAAGAACTGGCGGTACTCGGTGCGACAGTTCTGTCATGGTACGAATACAAGAAAGCAAATATACTTCAGTGCAACTATGCGATTATGTCTACAAGCACAGCAACTAGAAGTACTTTTGACAGTTTCCTCAATTTATGTGGCAGTTCTATATTATCACAGACTAGCAACTGCCTAAGTGCATGAATGCCATGAATTTAAGAGTGCAAATTAGGGCAGCTACTTAAGAAAAAGTTGACAGTTTCCCCTCTATCTTCTTTGCATTACCAAAAAGCTCTGATTTACATTTCACATGACATTCAGAGAAATGCTTGCAGTCTGAGCAGAGTCCAGTAGTAAAACACGCACCTGTGGCTACTTGTATTCATGTATCGTGGCTAGAAAAGTAAGCAAAAAATCTACATTGATCATTCTTTTTCTCATATGTAAGCTGCAGAGATCAGTTTATGAAAGGAAGCTTTCCCAAGGCGTATCCTGCAAAAGCTACGTGGAAGAAATCGTCGCGCTTGAGACGTGCTGCAGGGCCTCCTGCAGCCCGTAGCAAGAAATGGCACAAGTGTGGACACTCACCGCTGAAACTGGTGTCCTCTGTTGCACCACTAGAAGCCTGCTCCGGTGGCACACATAGACTGAGTGGAAGATGAGGAATGAGACGTCGTCGTTAGTGTCGCATCGGAGTTTACGGGGCTGCGGTTCCACATACGCACTGTGACTGTGCGCAGCAGAAAAGGAAGAAATTCCCTCACCTTGACACGCTGTGGCGAGCCTCTGGTCGCCGACGCGGTACGGATTTCCACCAACGAGGGGCACGAGAGCCGTCGAGTGGATGTAGCCGACCAGCTCAGTCTCCAGCGTCGACAGCAGCAGGTCCACTGCCAGCTGAGCTGCGTTGCCAACAGACACAACTGGCTGGAAGGAAAGAAATTTGAAAAAAGTGTCACACCACTACGTCACATCACACAATTAGAGGGCCCCTAAACAACATTCACATTTGAATCAGTACTTTCTACTGCACTGGCATCACCAGTGGGGAAGTTCAACCCGTACCCCCCTAAAAAATTGTCAGTTTTGCATATGTATACATACGCACCCACGTATATACGTACACACGAACTCGCATGAAGTACCTAAAACTACGATATTATTGTGAGGGGGGGTCTTTTAACGCCGTAGTGGAGGGCTATGGAGGTTTACACCACCACCAGGTTCTTTGATGTGCACTGAAATCACGAGCCTCTACCATTGCACCGCCATCAAAACGTGACCGCCGCAGCGTAAATAGACTAAACCAATCTCCCAACTGGCTGGTGTCAACGAATGCAGTCAATTCAAGGTGAGAACGCGACCTGTCGATAAACAACCAAATATGACAACCACAAGCGCTGAGGAAGGAAGGAGCGCTACGAGGCTTTGCGTCAGCGCACTGATAAATCTACATGTCTCATTAACATGATTACTCTTAATAGTTTCACCAACGAAAAAAGCGCATTCACCGGCCAAGTACGGAGTCTTTTTGCCCAGTCTCCCCGTATTATATAATTCAACGGACGCATTACGCGCACGCTTACCAGCACAAGCGAATACTCGTGCCACTGGTGACCCTTGAATGGTTGCAAAGGCACAAACATGCTGACCAACGGCACAAAGCTTTTGAGCAATGACAAGACACAAATTACGTCCTCCTCGAAAACCGCCGGCGACCACACATGCAGTTATATCGCGTGAACAAGAAGCGCTATTTGCGTAATTAAGTATAATTACTGTTTAACTTTAACAATAACCAACGCATCTATATTTTAAATTGTAAAATTTATAATTTCAATTTTATTTGTATTATAGAGTGCGGACATTACTTTTGTTTACGTATTCAATTGTATCAACTAAGGAGTATTACATCAGGCTGAATCAGCTCGTCTTAGCGAAACGAAAGTGACGAAAGTAGCTGCAGCCGGGAGGTGCATCGTAGGGATCGTAGTTGTCCTGTAAATCGGTACATTTTTCGGCGATCGATCGGAAACCCTCTGAAATCAAGCGCATCTTCGTTAGTTGGCGCAGTGTATACACACTTTACCATTGCCTCGAACCATTGGGCACCTCCCGCAGGTGCCGCTTGCGATGCGATCTCCGAGCCGAAAGTGGGGCGTTCGCCAGCACCGTCGATGCAGTAGTTGACAGCGGGGCGAAACTCCTCGGGGAACTGTCGCACTGGTTTCCGACGACCATGGACGGGGTCCAGCTCAAGGTGGCTCGCCAGGTGGAGAACATCAAGTTGTTCCAGGAGGCGCTCGCCAAGAGCAGTCAGCTGAGCAAGGGCATGTGCGCCATCCTGTCGTCGTTCGACGAGCGCCTCATGAAGCTGGAGCGCACCATCCTGCCCGTGTACCACGAGACGGGGAACTTGCAGAGGCGCCAGGAGAACATCGAGCGCACGCTGGCCCAACTCGAAGAGGTATTACAATAACAGAGAGCTGGCCGCGTATCTGCCTCGCCGCATATGTGGTCGAAAGACGATGGTGTTCTGCCGGCATTCTTTCGAGCACAGCGTCGCATTTTCGGCGCAGAGTAAAAAAACACCAGGGTCTTTAGAGTTACGTATCTGTGTATTTTCCGGTAAAAGAACAAACTACCTAACTCTTGCCTATTGATTTCGCACCTCAGGATGTGCGTAATATTTGCTTCTTGATCGACAATGTTCACAAGCACGAATTCAGCCACTTGTTCAAGATGGCTGGTAGTTCAGCAAGTGCTTAAACTTTGGCCGGGTCGCCGAAACGTGTTTGTGATGCCCTCGGCGTTTTTGGTGTCTTCACTTCTCTTTTATGTTCGTGTTTTGCACGCCTTGTCCTTTTGACATCGCGGTCGTGTGACCACGATTGTGCGGTGATGGTTCCTGCCTACTGGTTCAACTCTGTGCCTGTGCTGTGACACGATTCTGCGGGGTACAATTGTTCGATTTCTGTTCTGCGTCCGTTCGGAAAGTGTGAACTATATTGATATACAGTGCTAGGTCCTCTGAGAAATGCTTTTCTGCTAGCTGTCTGAAATTCGGGTTGCAATGAAGTTTTTTTTTTTTTTCAAAACACACACAAACACACACTGGCACTGCATTTGAGATTGAATAAGTAGCAGTACAACACAATACCCTGAGCGAATTCCAGGTTTATGCTATTCACAGCAATCTTACTGTGTATATGAGCCATTATGTTGGTTGTTTTGAGAAATGTCAGCTTGAAGCTGTCAATCACTTCATGTATTGCATTGTCCAACAGTGCAAGGCTTCGTATTCGTTGGTCACATCAGGTGATACAACAGCTTCATGATCAAACAGCATTCACAGCGTGGATCGGAGCCCTACATTTTTGACAATAATGTACAGTGGCTGGCCACACCCATTGATGGAGCAGTGTGCTACAACAGTTTCTGAGGAAGAGCAGCCTTGTGATAACCGATTGCAAATTTTCTGTTCATGTGTACAGTACTCACATATCTCCCTCGTTCCATTACCTTTCAGCTCTAGTGTAGTGTAGTGAACTGGACATTCAACAAGTTTACCTCGCACCTTTCCTCTCGTCACTCCGTCCGATTCCCTTTCTTGCTTTCTGGACATATTGTCTGAGGAGGCTTCCCAAATCCTCGCGGAAGCGCTTCAACCATTCCCATGTATGACTGCCTTATACATCACAGCGAGTGCATTAGCTCGCATTGAAATTCGCAACATGCTAGCAGCAGCTGTATGTTGCATGTTGTGCGAGTCTTACACTTGTTATGTGAAGGACAGAATTGTTTGACCCGCTGCTCTGACTCGGTGGCTGTACGCATGGTTGGTAGTGCCGACGGAGAAATCACAGCTTCAGTTATCGGCAAAAACAGCCACGTTGGAGTGGAGGATCAAAAATAGATATATGCCTACCTACTGCAAGTTAGGCCTCATCAAGTGAGACCATGTATTTAAGAATAAACTGGAGTCCACAATGCTTATCATTAGATGAGTGGGTTTTAAACATATAGCTCAATTGCTACTGTTTGGAAGAGCAAACAATTGAGACTAGAGCAGGCAACACACAAGCACCGGCCAAAACTTGCATTCATTCACCAGAACAAAGTTATACTAAACCCTTCTTCAGCATACCCACATTACTTGCTGTAACTGTTCTTGCCAAGTGCATCTCCTATATAAAATGCAGCACATCTTACAAATATCTAATTGGAAATGACGTACAAGACAGCGGGTACTGGCATCGTGCCAGTACAAGTGTTCCTAAACTGGTGTTTTAGTCAAACGGGCTAGATTTTTTTACCCTTAGCATTTATTCTTCCTATTGCAGGTGGTGCAGCTCTATGGGGTGTCCCAGATGGCCAAGCCCAAAATCAGTCAAGGTCCCAGTGATCAGAACCTGGACAGCTTCCTTGAGGCCATGGAGCAAGTGGAAAAGGCGCGAGACTACTTCGAACAGAACAGTCCGCACAACATTGAGGCCAACCTGCTCGAGCAGCTCTTCAACGAGGGTGTTGCGGGATTGCAGGCAAGTCGCGCACTTCACATCTGTCGTATTCTCAATTAATAAGTCAACTGCAGCAGAACATTAGAATGCCTAAACATTAGGCTTATGTGAATATGTGAGTGCTTTGAATATTCAGAAGAATATTACAGCATTTATTAGAGTTTGCTTCCACCTGAATTTAAGTTATTGGGAACTTGAAAGTATTCGAAATAAATAATTAATTTCGTGTCCACGTCTGGCCATCCTTTAAAGGTTGTTTCATTGCATTTGGCAGACGCTCTACCGCGAAGACATCTACCAGAAAAAGTCTGCATTGCCACGAAGCCATACTTCAAAACAGAATGAGTGTATTACCTTCATATCGATTTATCAATTTTGAATTGGCAAAGCTTGTTATACCGGTTTATATGCTCTAAATATAGTAGATTTTAAAATGTAACATATTTTACAGATTATGTGCTTAGCTGCTGGAGTGAATCAGTACCGATTTTGAGCCCACTTGATGGATGAATTATGAAGAGCAAGGCTCCTTAGGCCCCCACCCCGCCGCCTCCACTGAAGCTCTTTGCGCTAGGAAAATGCGCTGAGCAAAACAACAGGTGCGCGCTTCTGGTAGATGGATTACGCTACGCCGCGCGTGTCGCAAACTCTCTCGCTTAGTGGTTCCCGATACCAAGCGCATCAGACGCTCTCCCCAGCCTACTGCCTTCATGAAAGACAGGAGCAAGCTCAGGCGCATAGTCGTTTGTGTCCCATATTTAATGAACTGCAGTCATCAGTTGCATTTGTACACGAAACAAGTGCAAGTTTTAAGACAGACAATATCAAAAACAGGAAAAGATAACAGAAATAGTGTAACAAAGAGATGTGGTCAGCTTTGAGCATAGAATAGCTGCACTTTTTCAAAGGCAGTTCGGCTGACCTGTATGTAACCAAAGATGTGAAGCCTCATCGGAGGGGATGAGAGGACCAGACTATTACATTTGAAAAGAGTTATTCGAGGTGCAGAGAGAGAAAGTGCAGGCCATACTTCATCATCTCACAGCGCTGTGTGTACTATGTAGCCACTGCTGAGCATGTCTCTTTAATTTCAAACTATGGAGTACCCATTCCATATTGTGCACAGGCTGTCAAGTCCAGGACTTGAATGGCATTTATGGGAGTTCACTGGAATGGCGTTTCCACGGCAATGAATTAACTGTTTCTCATGGCTATAGCGACGTCGTGAGCGAATGGTTGCCAGTAAATTTAGTAGACGTCACTGATCATTGTGGTAATGGCGCGTGCACAGACGCATAATTTAAGGACAGAACACTGTTGCGTCCCTTAACAGCCAGTATCCCCTAGCAGATACTAATGCGCTTTTCCGTTTTCCATGAGTTTACTGTGGCGAAAGTGACCTAAACGTCATGCACCGGGTCGGCAAATAATAAAACCAATGTTCTTACTGATTATTTCCTTTTAGTGGTGGCGCTAACTCTGTTTTTCAATGTAATCACGGCCCTTCCTGTGCAAGCGGGAGGACTGCTCAAAATTCGGGAGTCACCCAAGCCAATTGGGCGATCTAACCAATGAGTTCTAACGGACTTTTCCCGTGCTCTCATGCAGGCCGAGTTCGAGGCCTTGCTGGTGCGGCACAGTCGCCCAGTCGCGCCCATCGCCATTTTGGATCTCGTAGAGGCAGAGTGTCCACAGTCCTCCACGCCTCCCGCAAATGCCGCCGCTGCGCTGGAGCCTCTTCCAGCCGCCGTGGTGAACGACCTGTCTCGCATCTCGACCTGGCTCCGCAAGCGGAACCTCTCGGAGCACCTGGACGCGTACGCGACTCAGCGCTCGCGCGTCCTCGTGCGTTCCATGCAAGCCCTACGCGAGCACCATAAGACCGGTTCTGCAAGCAGTGGCACGCTCCCGCCGCAGCCCTCGTCATCACCGCAGCTGGGCGCGAACCGCAAGAGCCGCGTGCCGCGCCGCCTCCACGATGCCTTGATGCGAGGCCTGAGGCGTGCAACGGACGTTGCGGGCCTCCAGGAGACGACGTCGCGCGATGAGCTCCTAGATCAGGAGGTCGAGGCGTATCTCACAACGCTGACGGCGCTGTGCCGCCTCATGCAGGCCGAGGACGAGCTCCTGTGCAAGGTCCTGGGGCCGGACCCACCGCTGCCCTTGGAACGAGTTGTCCTGGCTGCACTGGAAGCGGTCACCCAGGAAGGCGAAGCCCTCGCCGGACGCGTCAAACGTTGTGTCGCCCGGCACGACTTCGTCAGCGTTCTCTGCCTCTTCCCAGTCCTCCAGCACGTGCGGGCGCTTCGTAAAGACTACGAGTCGCTGTTGTCCGGGCCGACCTCAGGCCGTGCAGCGGCCGCACGCCTTCCTGGTCTAGCTGTCACCCTCCAGACAACGCTGAACAAGGCACTGGAGGAGCTCGTCGACAGTGTCAAAGGAGACCCAGAGGGCAAGATGCCGCGAGACGGCACCGTGCACGAGCTCACCAGCAATGTGATGGTGGTGCTTGAACAGTTACTGGGCTTCGTCGAGGCTGCCGGGGCCGTGCTGGCCGTCTGGGACCTCGCATCATTCAGTCAAAGCCGGGATCCTAACCGTGCTGCCCTGGCGCAGTACGTAACCAGAGTTCTGTCGGTGCTTAACCTGACGCTGCACAACAAGAGCGCGCGGTACGAAGACCAAGCCCTACAGGCTGTCTTTAGGCTGAACAATCTACACTATGTTCTGAGGGCTCTCGTGCGGTCGGGTCTTTTGGAGGTCGTCCAGATGTACGAGCCCTCCCTGGGAAAGCAGTACGAAGAGCAGATCAGGGACCAGAAGCGGCTCTACTCCCAGAGCTGGAGTCGCGTCCTCCACTATGTTCTTGAGGTGGACCGACCGCTGTCTACGTCCGCCGTTGCGGCGGGCGGCGCCAAACTGAGAGACAAGGACCGGCAGACCATCAAGGACAAGTTCACTGGATTCAACCGCGAGCTGGAGGAGCTGTACCGTGTGCAGAAGGCATACGCCGTACCTGACGTCGAACTTCGAGAGAGCCTGAAGCGCGACAACAAGGAGTTCGTGCTGCCCAAGTACAAGATGTTCTATGACAAGTACGTTTCAGTACCCTTTACCAAGAACCCGGACAAGTACCTCAAGTACACGCCACTCCAGGTGTCCAACCTGATTGACCAGTTCTTTGATGCGGCTGCGTGATTCAACCTTGCAAGTGTAGTAAGCATGCCTTTTTGTGAATCTTGTTATTTAAATAAACCTTTACTTTCATCCTTGTTCCATTACTCTTCATGGAGTTTCCCTTCTCAGATCCAAAGATAAACACAAGTAAACCATGAATCAATATTTTCTTGCCGGTATCTTAAACGGCGTCCAAGCTTAGAGCGAAGCTTGTATATAAAGAAGGTGGGGCATTAAAGTTGTGCGGCCCCGTAATTTTCTCCATCTCTTGCTCCGTTCACTGGCCACCTCGTAAATATATATATATAGGCACTGGATCTTGTCCTCCAAGGTAGTACCGGTGGGAGATTTATTCTGTGCATTGATTAATGCGTGGGGTTTAACGTCCCAAAACCACTATATGATTATGAGAGACCCCGTAGTGGAGGGCTCCGGAAATTTCAACCGCCTGGGGTTCTTTAACGTGCACCCAAATCCGAGTACACAGGCCTACAACATTTCCGCCTCTATCAGAAATGCAGCCGCCGCAGCCAGGATTCGATCCCGCGACCTGCGAATCAGCAGCCGAGATTTATCCTGTGTATTGTTGAACAATGAAAATCCACAGCGTGCACATGCACTAAAAGTGAACTGTGGATACCTGTGTCCAATCAGTCTTTTGGCTTTCATTCCATAGCATTGATTGACATGTTCCAGTAGGAAACGCTGGTTCATCACTGCGTGATTTGAGCCTAGCTCCCCAGGTTTCTCATTTGGGCAGTGCCACGATGAGCGCCAGCGTCGCCACCAGTGAAAGCGATAGCGCCCACTGCTTTGCATATACACATGGTTCCCTTTAGTGGGAGATGGTGTAATTTTTTTTCTTTTATATCTGGAAAGTCCCAAAACCATGATAAGGCTGAGGGACGCCACAATGTAGAGGTCCAGAATTTTCGATGATGTGAACCGGGGTGCCACTGCCCTGGCCCTGCGTAGTCTGGACACGTACGCACAATGTGATGGCCGTGCGATGGCTCACTTGCCCAATAAAGTTTTTCCTGTTCCTCCTCCTCGACCATCCAATGTGATACAATGTGCTCTGACATGGTACAATACATGGGCCTCCAGAATTTCTCCTACATCGAAATGCGACTGCCGCGATCATAATTGAACACGAGACCTTCGGGTCAGTAGCCGCGCACCATAACCGCTACACCATCGCGGCGTACAGAGAACGGATAAGACAGCAACGTGCCTCTCTTAAACGTATGTACGCACAGAAAAAAAATAAATAAATAAAAAGCTTGGACTAGCAGCCACAGTTTTCTAGCCTCACAGCCGGCTTGGAAAGTAATTCTGCACGCGCCATTGTAAATGCGCCATCACGTTGGAAAGTGGTAGTAGTGGTGCACTAGACAAAAGGATGGTAGTTTTATCGACCGTAACCAACTGCTTGATAAGCTTGGTGCTTGTTTGGGCCAGTTGGTAATCTATTGAACTGTTAGGTAGCACAAATCTACATAAGAAACTTGTGAAATATATTCTCTTTCGCATCCTCTGTCTCTAAGAGGGTGTGAAAGAGAATATATTTCATAAGTTTCTTCAATAAAAATTCAGTTGGAAATTTAGCGCTTGTGTGTCGCATTTTGTGTAGCAAACACATCGCACACCCGCCATCTTGGAGGCCATGGCTCGAGTTCAGACGGCATCTCAACGAGCTGGGCCCCTAAGATGGCAGCCACAGTGACGTCAATGCAAACTATGTACGTGGACGTCTCACAACCGAAACCGCAATAAACGAGAGATTACGCACACAGTATCATGCTTGTGACATTATGCTTACATTCCGACTCTACCTGTAACATAAACCGTATTTTCTTGCGTGCAAATCGTACAGCAGCGATTCGCAGAATTTCTTCTAAAAATAATCCCTGCAGATTCCCGCAAAGCTAGCTTTTCTGCATAGCTGTGAAGCACTGCCGTGAAGCCACCTAAACCTAGATTTATTCGAGTTTTTTTTTTTTTTTTGACATCACAAATAAATTGCCCTTATGAAATGCGCATGCACATTTGTTTTTAGCCTTGTGATTTCAAAGGTCATCTTATATTCTAGTTAACTTACAATTGTCTAAACACGGTACATGTATTTACCGGAGGCGCATAGGGAAGGATGAGGCAAGCCGTTTTCAACACCCTACGTCATTGGTAATTTTGTTTTTTCTGGCTTTGCAGCATGATATACATGAAACAAAAAGTCCCACGTGATGGTGGAGCAGCTCACTCCAACAAAACAGACAACTTCACAGTGGTAACACAAGCTATTTGCAGACTAATAATGAAGAGGAGGCGCAGAGAAGACAAGGCTGAAAGATCTGCTTTGAAATATCTGAACCAACACGAAAACTAACTGGTCATAGCCAAAGATGAGATAACCAAGTCGTTTCCAAGGTCCTAATCAAATCGTTTTCACTACTCCAGCAAATTTCCATGGTCAGAAAATACCCGCAGCTTCCAATACGATGTACCTAAGCAAAGTCTCGGGGCAATAGATTTCAAAAGGGCTTAACTCCTGTACCCTGTAATGGCTCTCTTGAGGGCTAACAGCATTAATAAATGAATTATTGGACTCTTTGAAATCTCTCCTATGGCCACTGGTGCCTGTATACTGCGGTGAGGAGGGCAGCCTTCCCTTTTGAAAACTGTACAGTTAGCCTTATTGCAATTCAGTTAGCCCAACTGATGGCAGCTAGAACATTCTGCAAACAGCGTGTTCAAGTGAAGTTTGCTTGCGCTGTGACATGGGCAATGTGGATTGAGGTCACTTGATAGTTGATACAAACACGTACTATAATAGGCAAGCCCCAGCATGTGCAACCAGGACCTTGTCCCCGTTTGAATGGTTGGTTGAATATGCAGCGCAGAAAAATTCACTTGTGAATAACGAAAAAGGTCTCTTGTGGAGGAAAGTAGAAGAGGAGAGAAAAAGGACTAGGAGAGAGTATAATATGAGGCAGTTATCGGCTTAACTTGCAAGCAGGTCGTCTAATATGATGCTCCTTCCTCCTCCGTTTCCTAGCAGTCTGCCTTAAGTGAATCCTCGACACGAGAGAAAAGCTTGACTATGACACAAGCACACCACTGAAGTATGACTGTTCCTGTATTTCATTTTTCTTTCACCTCTACACCCAAACAAATGAAGTTTAGTGAGATGCCCGCCTTCCTGCTAAAAATCTGTTGGCACTTGTTGATCGGAAAACCCTGATGCATTCTGGAGTGTGGAAGGACTTCCCGGCTTGCAACCAGACGCTCCGGCTGTTCATACTGCATCCGAGGGCAGGACTTCAGCGCCAGTCCCGTGGCGTGGCTGTCACACTGTCGCTTATCCCAGACTGAGCAGTCAAAAAGACTGAGGAAGCAGGCGGGGCTGGTGTCGTCGTCACGACGACCACGGCATGGTCATGGGCTGAGGGTTTTGCAGGTACGTCATGACGACGGCAGATATCGACAGCCTATGGAGAGAAAGAAAGGGGAAGGGCGATCGATCAGACATGCATAGCACGGTATGATATTTCCCTAGCTGACAATTTCCTGTAGCGTGATCTTTACTTTTTGTCAGCTTGCTAAAATGCTGTCACTGGATGTGTGTGGAATTGTAAATTGACTTAGATCACAGCACGATAGAAGGCACTCCTTTTAGATGCGAAGCAGGGGGGCTTTGTTCATCCCTCCTGTGGCGTCCACACCCCCACTGCCTATGCACGTCCTCTCTCCCTCTCCTCTAGGATCTCGAGGCGGTGCAGCAGTGCGAGTTGGGGGTGAGGACAGGAAACGCTTGAAGCAACTGCTACCACCTGGGACCAATGGCACGAACCCGCAGTTCCAGTGAGATTTCTGTGACCACAGCTTCAGACACAGCAGCAGAGTGTGCGATTGGCTTGGATTCGATAGCTACCTGATCAAGGTCAAGGGCATCCAGAGAAACAACACCAGAATGCTGTCGCCGGCCTGCTGCGACAAGAGTTCGGACTGGTGAGTAACGACTACGGCAACCACGGTGAATTTATGGTGCACTAAACTTGCAAGGAGGCGCTAACGCAGGGCAAGGTGCCCGTCACGAGCGTGACCAACGGCTCCCACTACCCGGCAAAACCTGAGCATCTGCCCTAGCTTAATCTGGTCGAAGAATGGCTCATTATACAGTATCTGCCATTCAAGAGCATTCAATGCCTCACGCACGGCAATGGGCAATACGAGATCAAGGGCCAAACCGCCAACGTGCCCATCGAAGTGCGGGAATTCGAGCAATGCCTCCACAGAAACGTCCGTGACGGCAGAGCCATCCACGTGCACATCAAATGAAGACTGGTCAGTAAGGCATTGTACAGGCGCGGTACCACGACATACAAAACGCCTCTCTCTCTTCTTTGATACATTATCAATACATTCTCATTCGTCCTCTCAATAAACTGCACCACCTCACGCTGAAGTGAACCCCCTCCCTGCTGCTTTGCATCCACACATGGTTCTCTTTAGTGAGAGATGGCGCAGTTTTTTTGTTATAACAGGAAGCATGAACAAAAAAACATGGCAGAAACCGACAAGACGTGTGATTACGGAATGCTGAAAAACTGCCAACACAGTGGCAGCACTCCCAAGGCTACCAGAAACCAAACCAGGATTCCTTTTACACATGCAGATCAACTTGCATGGCATTTGGTCAAGGCATTTCACATAGAAGAAGAGAGGATCGCAGGCATGCGCTGTGTTTTAGAAAAATTGCACCACTTTATTGCCAGTATGTGCTTGTTTTCACAGTGCTAATGTCTAATTAATACTAATTAGACCATGTCAAACTAATTTTTAGATGTCTCAAGTCAGAAGCATGATATGATTATGAGGCGTGCTGTAGTGGAGGGCTCTGGTCAACTTTGACCACCTGTGTTTCTTTAGTGTGTACAAAATCCTACGTAATTTGAGCACTCTCGTGAATCCCATTGTTTGGATACTCAGATGTCGGATCCTTTCCCCAAACACGAACACTGCCCGCTTTGACCGTGACAGAACTCACCAGTGAGAACAGCGATACATCAACGAACACAAGCGGAGAACATGGCACTTACATGAAGCTGCTCAGTATCTGCTTGGTGTCGTCGTTTATCCTTGAGTTGGCAAAGCTGATGCTGGAACAGTACAAGGCCACCCAGGCACACCACTTGAGCTGCACAAGAACGGGTATGATGAATCGGAAAGCAGAACAGAACATCACTGCTCAAACCACACGAAGTTGGGCTAGTGAGCAAGTATACAACATGTACGCCAGAGATAACAGCTAAGACACTTAATGTCATCTCTAAGCAGTTTAACTGAAGGCTGCCTTATGCATTTGCTTTTACTACTATTGATGTGCCAAGCACAAACCATTACATGCATTTATTCGTGCCTGTGTTCGTATAAAAGATCAGACTTGTCAAATTTGAGCGTGCATCTACAATTGAAAGATCAAAAAATTTCTTCCTGCATTTTACGACACACACATGTTGCACATTATGCCACAAAGCATTTAATTGCGAATCAGTTCTGCAGAAGCACATAAGACAGAATAAAGTTTGTGAAAGGAGAACTTACTGCTTTTTTTTGGCAAAAGGAATTGTTACTCTTCAACTGTGAAATTTGCTTTCTAAGAGGCTCCCGCTGCATGAGTTTTTTTGCAGCTAGACGTTACAAATGAGTAGGCGACGATCCTGCTGAATTGTGAACAGCGTCTTTTCACATATGTCACAAAAAAGCCGACAGTTAACATCAAGAACACGAACCGAGAGGGTGTTCGCCCCACTCACCTTGAGCATGAGACCACACATACTGAATATCATGGAGAGGACGTTCATGTAATCCGGCGTGGGGTCATCTCCGGGTGTGCCGGCTGCGGGAGGCTTGTACCTGCAAGCCGTAAATGCCCCGTCAAGAACTAGCTGAAGCACTAGATTGAAGTATAAATAACCTGGAACCATCTGATGGACGGTAGAACATGTTCAACTAGCTTTTCAGGGCAACATTATAATGCTGTACTGATAAAATAAAACATAAACTGTGGCTATTTTTGTGTACTCTATCCGAGCACCAAAAAAATTAAGTGCCACATATTATTGACACAGTAACACAATCGGCAAACTATTTCCTTCGTCTTGCATTTCGCCAAAGTTTACTTCTTTACCATTTCCTAATGCTATCGCAAAAAACCAGGAAAATCTTTGCTGTGAAAAGCTGCTAACTTCCCTAGAAACGTGATAACCTGTACTAGTGACAACCGCCTCCTGTGAAATTTTTTGTCAGTCTAGGGAGGCATGAAAGCTGGCTGCATTCCCAACTACCAGTAACAAAATGAACTGCAAAGAACGAAAATCTTCACTACGAGAAATGCTCGAAAAGTAATTGAGGATTTACAAGAATTGTCTGCTACATCCGATGGCTACTGACAAAAACAGGCACAGTCTTGTGTAGAGCAGCTCCTTAGAAGTCCCATTTAATAAATGTATTTTTCAGGTTTTGGATATAGATATCTCCTTTTTCTTGAATATGACTTGGTCATAGATGCACTCATGTGCAATAGCTGGAACTTATTTTATTTATTATATTATAGCTAATGACAGTGTTACACTGTGTGAATAATCAGCAAATGAGACATAGACATGAAAAGAATGGGCATATCAATAAAATTAATTTTGTAGATCCAGGAATACGAATTCACGCCCTTTTTTCTTTAGGGTTTCAAGGCCAGTGTTTAATTCACTCTCACATTAAATTTTTCAAATGGCTCAGTTAGTCGCGCAATCGCTCAGAGAAGGCAGGGTGTTGAGTTCGATCCATGCAATGCAACAATATACGTCTATTTAAAAAGCACAAAAACCTCCAGCCGTTACACCTTTCACCCACTTCGAGGTAGATACCCTTTAATTTTATGATCGCTGAAACAGCCACATGCATAATGTAAGAAAATTAGTGTAACCTTGCACTCACGCTAACGTGCTGTGTGTGGTGAGTGTTGTTTCTCGGGTGGACGAGTGTTTCTGGGAGTACAAAGTTGAGCTAATTTTCTTACAGTATGACGAATTACCAACTGGCCGAACAACAAGTTTTACTGCCGTTTGCAAAAAAAAAAAAAAACAAAGAAGTTACAGAAAACCACAAATGAAATTATAGGCTCTCAGAAGTGTGGCGGTTTGGGCTAGTTTGGTATGACATGACGGTAGATTTAGCGCCAGAACAGAACGACGAGATATAGCGCTCATCTTCTTCTTGATCCTTTGTCGTCGTTCCGTTCTCGCGCTAGATCATCATCGTCGCGCTATATCTGCCGTTATAGGCTCTCATTTCAATGTCGCTTTCGCTAATTTGGGTTCCTAACTTGATTGCGCGATTTTGACGTCATTAAGGTCACTCCGCACCGTCTTTCGACGATCTCTAAACTAAACCTCGGCGGAGCCGGGCCCACTCATCTCACGCGAAACCTTAGCCAGCTACTTCGCAAAAGAGTGGACGTAAACATGGAGGAAAGACTGTGAGGAAAAGATTCAAGGCTACGGCGGCGTAGTCAGGGGCAGCGTCTTTCAAGAGAAATGCGTTACGAAGAACATAACCTAGATATGCGTGGTAGTCTACGCTAAGAAGGTTCCTCAGATATACTGCACGATACAACAGGGCTCTGGCTGCGGAACCGAGTACAAATGAAGTCTCGCGGTTCGACACATAGTGAGGTTTTCCACAACCAGGCGCTTGTTTCATCCGTTTGATTCCGTAACGAACGTTGCACAATCTTTGCTGCCGTTTGCTCTTCTTGAATACGGCAACTAATAGTCTAATTCGCCTAGCGTTCTATCAGCCCGCTATCAGAAAGTGCCAAGGAACCGTTCAAGAAGCGCACCTGATAATTCTGTCTGTACGACGTGGATCGCTGCCATTGCTGCCGGAATGCATCGCTGAGTTCGTCCACCGATTCCGTATGAGTATGAGGTTAGCTGGCAAGAATGTGCAGTAAAATTTTCTTCGGAGACGCTCAGCAGTGCGTAATCAGATGAGAACGGAGGAATTAAACTCTATGGGAGGAACGAGCGAACTCTGACGCAGCCATTGCAAGCGTTGCGATGATGATGATGGTTGATGTCGACAACACGGCCGTCATAATCATCGCAAGTTTTTGGCTCCCGAGACCCGACTCCCGAGATACACATAAAGCATAGCCTTTAAAATTGGTAATAAACTCAATAAACATAAAGCATAAAGTTTCATACAATATAAAACTTTATGTCAGTAACTGTCACCTGGAGCGGGACTTTGAAAAGTGATATGTACAAATAAATTAATAAATATTCATTACAAAGTATTTATTTTATTAAGCGTTTCTTGAAGCCACAAATATCTGTGAGACTGTGACGTGAACACTGTATATAATTTATATTGAAAGATATTGCAAACTTCATTACAATTTTTATATTTTACAAGTTAGGGTGATGGCAACGTTACTGGATGGAGCCAGTTGGGAAACTGCATGGGCTCGCCACGGAAGCGGCGTGGCCGCTCACAGTCTCCCAAAACGCGGGGGCGCTGCGATCGCTTTGCGACCTGGTCATGTGACGAGCTTCGTGCGTCGTCTGCTCGTCGTCTGTTCCGCGCCCCGTCTCCGAAGGACGGCGCAGCGTTTTTGGAGCACTTCATATCTCAAGGAATCTTGTTAGCGGATGCATATTGAGAGCTTCCTGCTACAACCACTGCATAGATGAAGGTGGACACAGCTTGGAGCTCTGAACGAAGTCTGAGTGGTTCTTTTTGCCACGTGCTGATGGTGCTGACTGCATTCCGCAGGTGTTTCGATGTGATGAGCTTGTGCTTGCCTAATGAATAGGTGCCTCCGAGAGCATAAACTGAAATTTCCTGAAAATTTTTTTGAGATCGCATTGCTCGTGCAGTCCTTACATTGAGCGTTTTCTATAAAAGCATGCTCTTATTTGAAAGCGACAGTAAGCGTTCTAAATGAAACAGTCGCGAGTTCTGAAAACTTGCGCATGTTTTTATTGTATACAATGCCGCTGCATTTACGCTGCGGTGCGTTATCTGTGTGGCTTGTCAGGGAGAATAATACGATGATGTATATCTTACGAGACAACTCACTTTTTTTTTTTGGTTCCCAGCACAGCAATCTTTTGCAGAAGAAACACGTAGTTACAAACAAATTTTAACAGAATGGTTCGTAACAGTCGGCTTGTATTTTTTAAATGCATACCGTTTGTAAGTAGATACAGTTTTTAAATTGTGCAAATTCAACTATTTTATTAAGTGTACTTAAGTAAAGTGTGGGATTGGGCTAGTTGGTAATCCATATAAAACTTCTAGGCGCGTAAAACTTCAGACAACTAACACAAGAGACGAGGACGAGCGCAGACTTTCAACTGATTTATTACTACTACGACACACATATATATGTTAGAAAGAAGATAAGATCACTTGCTTAAAAAAAAAAAAAAAAAAAAAAAAAAAAAAAAAAAAATCAAAAGGCGAAAAAAAAGTTTTACGCGCCTAGAAGTTTTATTAAGTGTAAAGATTGTTTTTCCGATTGACAATTAAATGTATCGAATGTGCATGACTAGGAACACGGAATGCCAATCGAGTGGATATGAATTAAGGAGCTTGGAGAAGCTCCTTCATCTCTTCGTCACCTCTTCATGAAGGGAGGAATGCAATCGAATTAAAAAGAACAGCGTCATTTTAGTTTGACACTCGAATACCCAAATTTCGAACCAATGACATGCGTCGCCGGTAAGCTGGCTGTGTTCTACGTGGGACTCCTGCTAGGTTATTTAATGCTGTTCCGATGTTCCCGTGTCCTCATTACAGCCCTTAATTCACTGAGATCTGTGCATGTTGCTGTGCAATAACTGTAAGAAAAGCCACCAAACACATTTGTTCAAGTTCCTGTTTTTTTTTTTACTTGGCAACATTTCTGTGTTAAATCACTGCGTAGTTTATTGGTGCGTAGTCTAGAGAAGTTTGGCTTTCTTTTTTGTAGAAGACACCCTGCCAGAAGCACTCAGCTTCTTACAAACATCTCTCGTAAAAAAGTGCATTCTCAAAACAACGTATGAGTGTACAATCTCCGATGTCAGGATGTCCTTATGAACTGAACAACCAACGCTTGGAACATCGCAGTCTTTGATGACATCCAGCGCATCCCAAAACATGTCGGCGCACAGATGGTTTTCTCCTAGCACGAGAGACAGTTTTTCTTCGACGCGTTTCAACATTGTGTAAAGTTCTGTAGAGGGATGCTTGAGGCTTCCGTTCCTGAATTCTCTTGCCAATGTCAGTAGTGAAGCGGGGAATTTAGTGTTTGTTGACTGGATGCTGCTTATGCAAGCAGCGCAGTTGACGTGCTTCAGAAAAGAATGTACAATGTAGCCGCAGAGGTAATATACGACGCACTCCTGTACTGCTGGCAAAGCATATCCGTGGTCCGGAAGCGGTGTCGGTCCCGAGTGGGATGCTGAACTTATTCCAGGCAAGCAAACCTCGGAAATCTTTGCGCTGATTGTCTCACGCAACTTTTCATACGTTGCCAGCTGCTGCTTCTTCCCTTGCTTCATCGTCTCTTGCACTGTGGCTAGTATTAAGGTTGGCTCCTCTTGGACATTGCCTGCAATCGAAGCCTTGACAGGTGTGTACAGGCTCAGCAACCTGTAGATATGGGAAAAGCTCAGGATCGTCGGATGGTCTTCGTCACCTCCAAAGCTCCTGGTGATTCCGAAGAACCTCTGTAATGGTAGTAATAAAGCCGTACGTCAGTTCACCGTATGTATCTCTTTCAGAAGTCAAAGTACGCATGGCGTATGGAATGCATAAAGAGGATTTATAGAGTGCAAGTCTCAGGCGGGAATTGCACATCTCACATAGAGATATGACGACTGTTTAAAACCACGCTATGCTTCCTCATAACCGTTTTGTTTATTTTCCATGCAATGAAGTAAGTGCGCAGTTTTATGGAATTATGCTAATCTCACCTCCAAGGGGTCTTGATTAAGCTTGCCTGTGAGCACGTAGCGTGCACCTTTAGCAAGGAGGTCATTTGTTAGTTCCAAGATAGATGACAAAGTCACCCTTAGAGACTCCATTGTTACTTGAGATGCGAACATGGCTGTTCCTTTCTCAACGTGGTTTCTCTCTGTCAAGTCCAAGATAATCATGAAATCTTGGATGATCTAGAAAAGGGAAAAGTTTATGTTAGACATTACTTTTTTGTGCAAGCTAGCTCTTACATGCAAACGTCGACGCCTATAAAAAAAGGGACCTTTGAAGAAAGGCATAAAGTTATTTTTAACCTGATTTTTTAATGAAACATGTGTGCCACTGAATGAAAATGGAAGCTGGTAATACTTGAAATCACGCTTGCGGCGTGTCGCCTTCTCATCGACGTTTATTTCAGTTATCTGGAAGGAGAAGTTCTAAGTTCCAAGACATTTATTCGTCGTCTTTCTTTCAATAATACCTTCCTTCAATTACAAAATAAATGTCTACTTAAACTAGGCTTTTGTTGGTGTAAATGTTTGTCGGCGTTTTGTATTTTATTTATATGCCCAGTGCCTCAGTTCTTGATTAACATTACCTATTGCGAATGTTCTTCAAAAGTAGCACATTTTATCGCCCTTGCCTTAATTTCCTTGGATGTGCTCCTTATCCCAAAACGAGGAAGCTTGATGTTCAGGGCATCAAAAAGGTCATTTATGATGCGGGTAAACGCGGCTGTCCCCTCGCAGTCTTCCAGGCCATCTTGCTTGAGTCTCCGGTACACATCAAGGCCGATAGCCGTACTTCGGCTGAGCAGCTAGGGGACAGAAAACGTATAGGGGCATTTTATTAATCGCAAAAAGACTTAAGGAGAACACTTCACAGTACCAGTTAAGTTTGTGTTTCACATGTGAAGAATTTGCCTAAATAATCAGGTAAGCTATAAGTTCTTTCAAAAGCAGCTTTTCGTAATCTTACCTGTACTGCGAGCTTCACACTCATTTTTCTCATGTTGTCAGGGCAGACGTGTTCAGCGGTAAGCTTCGGAACAATGCGGAGTTGCTCTTTGCCGTCTACTTCTTGCAAAACTCGGTAGTGGTCATAGTTTATGCGATGTTCACCAATCTATGAGCAAGAAGAAGAGAGGGAAAAAAAAAGTCCGTCAGTCGTATGTAGTGCTGCGAAGAAAATGTATTTTGATTGGCACCGCGACACTATTTATTGCGATATTGTACTGTACGTGGTACTTACCATGCCATATTTGTGTCGAAGAAGATGGTTTCTAATGCATTTGACAATGTGGGGTACATCGCAAAGGAAGTAGAGGCTTTGATTTGGCTCGCATGGGTGCTGAACTTTGTGGTTTGCTGTGTGAAGCTTTCCTGATATGCCAAAGTTGGACCACATTGCTTTGTTCGTGCTGGCGCCATCACTGATTACTGCGACGACTATGGCGTTGTGTTTGCGTAGCTGCACGATTGCATCAAGAACTATTTTGGCGAGCACGTGTCCGGGGGCTGCGTTTTTTGTTGCAAAACTTGCAATCGGTTGAACCCATGAGTGGAATAGAGGCACAAACATTGCAACCAATGCATGATCAGCAGTAGCTGCTGAAACTTCACCGTCTCCGTAATTTACGAACCCATCAATCTTGTATGTTTGACGGTTGAAAGCTACGGCTTGGCGTACCTTCATTTCATCTATTACTAGTGTGCCGTAACACTGGACTCCTTTCATAGTCTTCATGAAAGCCCCTATGCTGGAAAGGGAGAGCTTATTAAAGCCAAACTCACAAGGCATTCCTCTTATTATTTGTCGGAGCCTAGTCGAAGTTGGAAGAGGGAGGATTTTCATTCTTGACATCAAGCGGTACACACGTGGGCTTGAAATCTTCAAGAGAAGGCAACTCAGCAGCCACCCACAGTCATACCGCACACCTCTTGAAGATTTCGCTTTCATCGACTGCAGTGCTGTCCGAAATGCAAGTTGCTGCAGTGGTGGAAGTTCAGCTAAAACCTCGCTCAACAGTGCATTGCTTGGATCTGATGACAACTTTTTTTTCAAGCTTAGCAGGTCCCTCTTGTATTTCTCCCGCAGCACTGTTGCTCTTATAGTCTTCTTTCTTAAATTTCTCAACAGCGCAGATGGCAAAGGCACGTACTTGCTCTTTCTTGAACGTCGTTTCTGCCTGCACTGCAAGTTCTTTTTGCTTTCCTGCACTGAACGCATAAGGCTTTCGCCGACAGCACTGCACATCGCTTGCTTCTCCATGTTCTCCCAGACCTTTCAGCCGTCTTAGAAGTTGATATTAAAGGACATAAACGAGAATCAAAACCATTGCAGATACCCAGGCTCTCAATGAGATGAAGAAAGGGCGCTGCGTCTTTCAAGGTGGTAAAATTGAGCTTGTCACTGTTAATAAAGGTGTAAGACGATTCCGGCACAAGTTTCCCTTTAGCGCTGACAACAACGGTCGAGTTTTTGTTTATAACGACAGCTCTTTCAATAAAAACTACGCCACCAATTTCTTGAAGTTTGTAAAAAACAACACGCTCATCCGTGTGTTGCACACACCATGCTCCATACACGGGCAAGTCTTCTATGCCACCAAACCAATGTTCACCTGTGGAGCTTTCTTTCATGATGACTTCCATGCTTTCAGCATTTGAGGCAGCCCTGTTTTCGTGTTCAAGCATTTCAGTGCACGTCTCACTTTCACTCTGAAGAACTGGGGTAATGTCATCTTCGGCCACTAGCACGCTTGCTGCATTTGTGCCAACATTTTCTACACAAAGCTTCAAATCAAGCTCAGCGCAATTAGCAAAATGCCGCGGTACCGCACCTTTCTTCAGTTCCCAGCGTCCTCGCGGAATCGAGACTGTTTCGCCATTCACAACATGCTGGAAGGAGGTGCAAATGTCCGCTTCATCAAAGTGACGATCACATATGTATGATCTTTGAGTAACTTCGAAGTTTGCACGGCCTGCCGCATTGTTCCACTCCCTCAGCACATTGGGGTCTTTCGGTGGCTTGAAAAAGTGTCGCTGCACGAAGGGCACTTCATTTGACGTTGCCGATGAATATCCACTTCGACAGCCTGGCACAGCACACCTCGGCATGCCGACCGTTCTCCCGAAGGGAGCAAAATTCAACCGCGAACAATTGCTTGCTCAGAGTCACCGTCCGCTTTCTCTCCAGAAAGCAGAACAGCGTAAACATTATCGTCTGCTCTGTCATGGTTGAAATTTAATGCATAAGGTCTGTTACGAAACAACGAGCCAGCCTTTTTTTTATATTTAGGTTACTTAACGATGAGTACTCACCATTATTACCAGCAGGGAAAAAATCGTCTGCAAGCGCAGGCCCTGCTAGCCGCGTCGCTGCTCCGTCTGCTCCGCGCGATGCCGGCTGCGCGGCGGAGAGGTCACGTGACGTGGTCGCAAAGCGATGCCAGCGACACCTGGAATGGGCGACGATTTGCGGCCGCCTCCTCGCGCGAGTTTTCCAACTGTCCTCATCCAGTAACGTTGGGTGATGGATAAAAACACGTCATCTTTCTTTTTTGCAAAGAAGCCAATGTAAGCCAGAATGCTGTATTGTTGGAAAGTCGGGATAACGGTGCGTTTTATCTTTTTTATTGCCCAGCCTCACGGTGTTTTCGGGGTTTGGGTCGCGCTCCACCTTCGCTACGCTGGCGCGATTGATACTCGGCGCCGGTCCTGCCAGCTGCTTCGCGTTCTCCCACATCAAGCCAGCAGTGCTTTTACGCAACCTCTTCTCCGCGGCAACAACCTGTCGCGGAGCGACTGATCCGAAAGTGCCAACCCGAGAGGCTTCTCTGTCAAGCGGAGGACGGCACGAAGATGTGCGTTCCACGGGCGCTGCGGTGCGCCGTGCGTAAAATCGACTTCGACGCCGCTGCGTTCGCGGTGTAATCGAGCCGCTCGCATGAGAAGTGGCGTGCGTTCGTCCAGTGCGAGGAAGCAGCAGCTCGTCCGCGATCTGCCAAGTTGCACGTTTCGCCGAATGTTTCGTTGACCGTGTTGTCGTGGCCGTTTGCGCTGGCCCGGTTGCCTACCACTTGTGTTGAACCGTTGTTCTCGTTTTCGTGTGAGCCGTACCCGAAAGTCTTTCTTTTTAAGTATGACGCGGAAGTCGAGAACTGTCGCCCTGTGCTGCCTCGCGAACTTCGTGAACGCGGCGGATCGCGTCCTCATGCCAATTGCCATCGTGCCCATGAGCGAGCAGTACCGCTGGAGCCTTCTGTGGCAAGGATGGATACTGAGTGCTTTCGCCGTCGGGTACATCACTAGTCAGGTGAGTCGCACTGTCCCGAATTCTTGTTTACTATAGCAACCCCTATTATTGTATAGCACACGTTCTTTTTGAGCGACGTGTTGGCGAAGGAGACGAGGGAGACCACGTAGTCGCGCCGACGTACTACGTTACGTCGTTTGTCGACTTTCTCTCTCTTACTTACTCCGAGGCCACTTCCTGCGCCGGCGGCCCGGCACTTTGCATGAAGATGCGTGACTGGCATATCCGTTGACAATCTTGGCATGCCGTTTATCCAAAGTTCGAGCCAAGGCGCCAGGCACTACGCGAAAGTTGTCCGAATACGACGTCATCCCCGATCTACGCGCAGTTTTGATTGACGTGAATGCTCTTACGTAGACAGCGATTTGACGCTGCATTAACTGCGGACTAACAAAAAAAAAAGTAGCAATAGCAAAATGGAATACTAAGGTTTTTGCTGGCTACGTTTGCTTGCGGTTTCGTCTTTCTGCAGGCAAATAAGTTGCCAACCTTTGTGTCGTGACGTTTTCTTCCCGTCACGTAACTCGCTCTGCGTGACCTTTCAACGAGTCCAGTACAATACGTCAGGCTTGCAATGACTAGTGAACTGGCTAAGAATCATCTTCGAAGTACCGTAGTTCAACTGACGAAAATGTCACTTTCTGTAGCTGTTAAAATGGGACGGCGCATTGGGCACTGCTTCTCTTGCAGTGCAAGTAGCATTTGTCAGAAAAAAAGTGGTTTAATAATGCATAAGTAACGCGGTAAATATGTAAAGAAGAAGCTCATATACGTTTCAAGTAATGTTCTTGCTTATGTTCGTGCTTACGCACAACAGTGAAAGGGTAATTCGCATGCAACAATTAATCTACTGGTTTGAAAACACTGCGAAATTGCAAAATTCCTATAAAGAGAGCATCCATAGCTATTGTTTATCTGTTAATAGTGAAACAATAAACTGGAGAGACATTCGAAGGTCCCACAATTTTCGTTTTTATTTTTGTTCATTTATTTTTCGGAAACGTCAGAATAAACTATCAAAATTTCTATTGTAAATGTAGCCTGCCCTTTCATGTCCATAAATGCGTCTGTGTGCTTCAAGACGTGGCATGCAGAGGCTGTGCGTGGTTGATTGTCCCAACTGATAACAAAGCTAGTCTGCACCCCATCTTTGCCCCAGAAAGACAGCAGTGCGCACAGGGAAAGGTTGTAAAGATGAAAGGAAAGTGATATTCCTTTGATCAGTAGCATTCAGTGCGGAAACTCTGTAGACAGCCCATGCAGTGTTCCCTTTGGAAGACCACATCTGTTACTATAGGACTCACAATGCCTCAACACATCAACCAAAAAGGCTGAAAGACAGAGTATTGTCTCCGTGACATTCATTTGCTTGTAGACAGGGGGACACCTTTATGTGGATATTAAATATGTTGGGGGGTGCAGTGAAGTAGGGGGTGACAGATTTATGATATCTTGCTGATTGCTAACTTGTTAACAAAATGCTTCAGTGCTTCATTTGTGTGGTAAGCATGTATACCTGAACATCCATGCAGTTGGTCAGGCATACTTAGTGGAAGAATTTGGTCAGTTGATGTAATGGCACCTTGTAAGCATGTTTGACCCATAGTCTTAGGAGCATTAATATACACGGAACACAGACTGAAGTGTAGCTGTGCTCTTTTACCATCAATCCAAACCAACCAGCCACTTCATGCATTTTCCAGCAGTGTCAAGGGACACTGCTGGGAAAGTAATATGAAGAATCTCTGCTCACCTATCAGCAGTGTATCGCCTCAGTCATTCATCCCACTTTCGCACTGGCTATTAACTCAACCCTGTGATAATGTTCTTCAGCACCCTTTCAAGTATTGTGTATCTTCACCCTCTGTTTCTACTTGTCACAGTTGGTGGGCTCTAGCTGCACCGTCGCGCTACGGTGGCCGCACCGTCATGGCGGGCGCCGTGTTGCTTTGGTCGGCATCGACGCTCGTGACGCCCTTGGTAGCCTCGTCACTTCCACTGCTGTTGCTTTGTCGTGCGCTGTTGGGATTGGGTGAGGGACTCGGGCTGCCCTGCATGTTTCACGTGGTGGGACAGGCGGCACCAGTGCCTGAGGAACGGACTCGTGCCGTGGCCTTGTGTGCTGGCCGCGGGTGCTGCGGGACAGACCGCTGCAGCGCTGGTGTGTCCGCACCTAGAGTGGCACAGTGCCTTCTATGTCCTTGGTGCTCTGGGCATTGTGTGGACAGCCGTGTGGATGGTGCTCCATAGGGACGAGCCATCACAGCTCAAGGAGCCTACAAAAGTGAACACAGGTACGGACAATACAACAGCAAAATATCTGTCCTGTCTCCTGGCTTCTTTCCTTCTTCATGCTTGTGCAGTATGCTACTAGTCTGCCATGAACTGACTAGATTGCAAAACCTCAGTATCAAGTTGGCTTTCCTCTTCGTTATGGATAATTCATGGATATGGATAGGATTGGTGTTGAAAGAAACGGTACATATTTAGGATGCAAGAAGAAGAGAGAGAGAGAGATAAGGAAATATTTATATGCACTTGTCAAGAATGACAGGGAAGAAGGCTTCGGCCTCTGGCCCCTTTCATCCCCCTAGCTGTTGGCCAAAATCCTATAGCGGTAGTCCAAGTGAGACTGATCAGCTGAGTGATAATGTCTCTCAGAATTCTATATTTCTGCTCAAACTGCTATAGAAAGGACATCAAAGAGACTAAATATTGAATGTTTGCAACTGTTAAACATAGCAGTGTGCCATGCAGTCATTGTCTATCTGCATTTCTTTACAGCTCCCATTGCATACATGCTTGCTCACAGATTTCATTCAGAACTAATTTCTCATAACTGACCTTGTCATATCTGCCAAAATTCTTTCTCTCTTCTTTCAGTGTCATCTCCGCACTGGCTGGAACTGATCAGCCACTGGCCTCTGTGGGCCATCTACATCGCCCACTTCGCCATGAACTGGTCTAGCTACACGATCATGCAGTGGCTTCCCACGTACCTGGTGCGCGCCCTGTATGCCCGGCCAGGCCACCTCAGTCTGGCAGCGCTGCCCTACATCTGCAATTCCTTGTGCGGTCTGCTGACAGGCCCGAGCAGCCGAACTAGCGGGCCGCCAGTGGAGTGTCCTGTCCGTACACAGGCTGGCCACTTCCTGTCTTGGCCTGCTCGGGCCCGGAATATGCCTACTTGCGTTCTCAGCTGTGGGCAGCCTGCCATTGGCGCTGTTTTTTGTGTCCTGCGCCATGGGCCTTCTAGCGTGCAATTCGGCGGGTCACCTCGCCAACCACGCTGACGTGGCGCCGACTCACGCAGCTCTCACGTTCAGCGTCAGCAATACACTGGTGAGAATCTGCTCGCGGAACTACAAGCATTTATTAGCTGCAGAGATAGCTTTGGCATTCTGTTCAAATAGAGAAAGTGTTGGATCGGAAGATTTCTTTTCTCAAAAGCACGGTTTTTTTCCGTGCAGGCAACCATTCCTGGTATCCTGTGCGGGCCGCTGACGGCGGAGCTTGTGACGCAGTCTCATGGGCGGTGGTTCCCCGTGTTTGTACTGGCCTGCTGCCGTCAACTTTGTCGGCGCTGTGGTTTACGGAAGCCAGAGCTCTGCCAGCCAAGTGTTGTGATGGTGTGCCAATTGAAAACCCTCGTCAACTCCGTCATTTCACCCTAGTCTCAACCATATGAAATACGAAGCTAACGTGTGCGGCCCCGTTCAACTGCGAAACCGGGTGACCTGTGGACGTCTGAAGCGGGAACGGTGTGCGAGGCATTTTGAACTGTTTGAACTCTGCACTACTACCAATGGCATGCACAGTTTGTTGGCACTTAGAACAGTGGATAGACAATATATGTTCCCACGTTTAAGTGGAAATCGGAAAAAAAGGTGCAATGTTCGCTGCTGCCTTGAGGATCAACACTTTCATTCGGTAGTTCGAGTGCAAACGTGGAGGGAGCATTGTTTGGCGTAAACAACGCCATCGACTTTTGTTGTAATTGTTACGGAAAATGTATGATAAAATGTGTCGTCATTTTTTGACCACCTGTTTCCAGAACTTGATGTGAGGGTGCCTTTCCACTTTTTGTAATGTGAAAACCCACTGGTGAATAGTAAAAAAAAGACTGTTAGCTTATGATCTCTTACATAAATATGTGCGCTCATGACGAATACTGGCATAAAATTGTTGTTGCTGTAAATCTACGCGCTGTTTGTGAATGTTTGAGTAAATTTTGTGTTGCTTTAAACATATCTAGTAAGCAAGCAGGACTAAGCAGGCTGCTGGCAGTAAAAGCTCACTAATTCGACCTTCGTGAATTAGGAAAACTGGATTATTCAAATGTGCTCTCTAGTATCGGGCAGCATCTGCATTGCTCAGTGGAATCACTCGTTAATTCAGCCATATTTGGCCACAACCCAGTCAATTCGGACGAAACTTGAAGCGCTAAGCACCACAATACTGCGATACAAGAGAGCCAAAATGGCATACGCAAACAATTGAAATGAGGCGGCGGAAGTCCGCATCACCATCTATGTCAGCGAGTGACCGCGGTTTTATCCGCAGTGGATCTGGCTCTCACTGGCTTTGTTTTGACTTGATGCATGGTGCAAAATCATAAATATCAAACAAGTTAGGAACTTTTGAGAGCTTTCAGCTGCGGTCTGCTTGCATGGTACAAAACCGGCTCGCTATGTCGCGATGGATGAACGATTGGCTGCCGGCCATATTACCAGCGAAAAATCTTGCAGGGCACTTGAGCTTCACCCGCCTTCAAGAGTAGGATGCAATAAAGTAATCGGGCCCTGTATGCATCATCGCTTTCTTGAGTGCCAGCCTGGTTTCTGTTCTCGGCGCATGCCTCAACCATGCCGTAATGAAACGAACGATTATGCGTGCAACTTTGGCAGTTTCAAAGTGGCTATTCACTACACCATAATTATTCCTATTGTGAATCGGTGCAGGACCTACTAAACATCCGTTAGGCAACACATGAGCTTACGCAGCCACTCACTTTGTTAAAGTTTTTGTAGCTGATGATTAAATGAGCATTGTAATTATTGGCTTTTAAGACACCGACTCGTTGAGCAATTTGCAGATTTTTATGCCTGACACAATTATATGCTTGTGCCAAGCAATATGTTGTGCCACAACATGTCACTTATGTTTTTTTTTTACAAAGCATTTGACTGCAATATCATGGCTTTGCAGTAGAACACCTGCTTGTTACGCAGACGGCCTAGGTTCGATTCTCCTCTCGAACCGAAATTTTTTAAGATTAATTTTATTTGCCTTTTTCTCGGTTTCTCTGTCATGGACAAGACTTTTTGCTGACAACCAACGACGGCACTGAAATTTCCGAGAAACAAACTTTTTAACGCTATCTCGTGAAAGCTAGTCATGTACGGCAGTGGTGCTATTTGCGGCTGCATGCAATCGGAGAAGGGTGCATAGCAGATTGCAGCTGATTAAATGCAACAGTTTTGCGCAGTGATCGCATTGTGAAGGACATGGCAGGATGATGAAAATTAAGCTTTTACACTGCTTTTATGCAGTATAAGTACAGGATGCAAGTATTCAAGCGAATGAAACTGTACTGATGTAATGGACATTTGTTATTGTGTCCTTGATAATTTTTATAACATGGCATTGGGTCAACTCAGTTTTTCCAGTACCTATGAAATCTAAATTAGTGAGCTTTTACTGCACATTGCGGTGTTAGTAAATACTCACCGCTCCCCTGGTGCAATACTCAAAAATTTTGATGTAGGATGGCCGGACACTACAGCTTTGGGTTGCATAACAGTATGTAGTTTGGCTATGCTGTGCTATGCTTCAGGCGTGTGTGTAATGCAGTGTCCGTTAACATCAGCTGATGACTAGACAACAGAACAGTCGCGACATCGGTGATGAACAAAAATGCAACTGTAATTGGCGGGAACGCATCTGTAAGGCTTTGCTTACTGTCGTTGCTATGAATTTCGTAGGGAGGTTTCGAACCAAAGCAATATAAGAACTGAAAGAGCGACATCTTTTGCAAGGATTAGGCAATTCAAGAGACACATGGCTGCTAAATTGGCGTTTAAGCATGGGGCGTGCTGCACGATACTAATTGCGTCTCTAAATGGCAGTCAAGCACGTCGCACACTTGGCATGACGCGCGCACCATTTAAAAATGATCTGGTGAAGCAAAGTGCCCCACGCTTTTTCAATACATAATGATATGTTAAGTAGGCGTTAACCATATGACGATCAGGCATCAGCACTCGGAGGTCTGTAGCAAACCGGAGGAAAATTGGGCACTACAGTCCATCAGTCACAATTGAAATAGTGGTAATGTCTCCCCCTATTCAGTAAGTGAATTAGTCTTAAATGCAGTGCTTACTTCAAGCATTAGATTAAACCTCAGTATTCAGGCTGCAACTTTGCAACATGGGCAAATGTATTTATAAGCGGAATTAAAGATGTTGCACAGAACTCGCAATTAAAGGTTTGCTCATTTCCTCCAAAACCAGAAATACAGAAGTTTATATCCATGCCACATGTGCACTTGGTGCCAATATGTGTTCAAAACATATGAGGTTTTTGAATGCGCTTATACCTGAACCAAAGTGCAAAGATTTCACGATCATGAATTTCGCAAATCGCTTTTTGCTTACTCCCGACATCACCGGGATAAAAGTTACACGGGTAGGCAGCACTAACATCGCGGCCATTTTATGCAGAACTAACGATATCTGGGGTTAACCCACAATAAGATTACGAGGGAGGCCACAGTAAGGTGCTCTAGAAAGTTCGACCGTCTTTAGTGTTCAACGTGCACAGTGTTCAACGTGCAACGTGCTTTAGTGTTCAACGTGCAACGTGCTTTAGTGTTCAACGTGCATTTCCTCCAAAACCAGAAATACAGAAGTTTATATCCATGCCACATGTGCACTTGGTGCCAATATGTGTTCAAAACATATGAGGTTTTCGAATGCGCTTATACCTGAACCAAAGTGCAAAGATTTCACGATCATGAATTTCGCAAATCGCTTTTTGCTTACTCCAGACATCACCGGGATAAAAGTTACACGGGTAGGCAGCACTAACATCGCGGCCATTTTATGCAGAACTAACGATATTTGGGGTTAACCCACAATAAGATTACGAGGGAGGCCACAGTAAGGTGCTCTAGAAAGTTCGACCGTCTTTAGTGTTCAACGTGCACAGACGTTGCACAGATATGCGCATTTCTAGCATTTCATCTCCACTGAAATGCAAACGCCGCAGCTGGTATCAAACCAGCGACCTTCGTGCGAGCATCCTCAGAGAACCATGACCCCCACACCGCTGCGACGGACATTTTATCGGGTAAGCATGCATTAGCAACATAGCACCCATAAACAAATGTGGCAACAATGGAAAAGATTGCACCTTAGACGAATTAGGGAACGCATATGTACCATACCAAGTGGCATTTAATGAATGCCATTTTCATGTGCGATGGTCGTTGCATGAATGGCATTAAGCCGGTAACATAGTTATCAATGATTTAAGAGTTTTTCCAATAGTAGACTTGTAATGAAAGTGCCCATGAGCAGTGTCCACTTTTACATAATGCTTCTGGTGGGTAACTGTGATCAGTTCTAAATCTCTGTGCCACTTGTGCTCATTTGTCGTCACTCCAGATTACGAAGACGTGAAACGACACTTGTATCGACACACAGCGGGAGTGCCATGCAAAGCGCACCTGGTGCGTGCGGGCACGCCTTTGTTCGACAGCTGCTGGAAACCGTCGATGTTCTTAGAATGCGCTGTCCTGGCCAGCAATGCTGCACATTGAGATATTACAGCTCCACAGTAGCGGTGATCAATCTTGTGGGTTCAAGTCATTTGCACCTATGAAATCTCATTTGTGGCGTTCTCTTTTAGTAGCATTTAAAGAAAAGACATACACAAGGCCCTTGCTTAGAAAGTTCAGGTGTTGTGTAAAATGTCAAAACTTGCAATGTCTGCAATCGTTTGAAAATACACGGGCCATACACGTAGGCACCGCATTTCTATGAAAATCTGCAATTTTCAGAGGACCGCTCAGACTGTGCTCTCGCAGCTCTACTGTGCATTTCAGATGTTTTTGAATATCAATGCTCGCTAGCTGCAGTTGTTTCCACTGTTACCAAAAAAGAAGACTGTTGAAACACGTTGCTATTAAAAGATGCCATTGCTGTTGCCATGCAATACGTTTGCACAACTTCAGTGAGCGAATTTGTTAACCGATACTTGTGTATTAGGAAGGCTGGGAGCACTTGTACTGTTGTGTATTGTAATGGAGTGCATTTTAATGGCGCCGAATGCAAGCCTCGATGGTAGATGCGTTGAAAGTGTTTATAAGTCCGTTTTCAGATAATGAAGTTCATGCGGTCACTTGCATTTCAGGTGCATGAATGGAAATACATTCGTAGCTCATTATGATCAAGTTGCATCTTGCAGGAAACTAAGCTTGTTATAACCGAAAATTCGTTATAAAGGTGTACTCCTATTGCAAAACTATTCACTTTGTAATAACTGATATTTCATAATATCCCCGTTCGTTATATCAAGGTTAGAGTTTATAAGCAAAGAAAAGAATGCACACTTTGTAACTAGCGCCAAGAATGTACCACAGCCCTTGTAAAACCAATCGTTGGTACTAAAAAGATTTATTTCTGTACTATGCAACATATGTACATTCTTCTTTTTGTCCTTTGATAAAGAACAGTGTCAGTGAATTCTGTGTACAGACGAGGATGTCACGACGTAAAAAAAATCCATCTAGCTGTTGGCATGAAAATAAAAATGACCCAAACAACACATTTATTTTTTTCGCACATCCAACAAAAGGTTTTCGGCAAGACAGCGAACTGGCTGACAAATCCTATGTAATCTCGCTAGTATTCAAGTGAGTGCGAAATGTTCGCAAATCTTGTATAATTAAGTGAAGCTTCGGTGGGCTGCCTCTCTTCCGGTTAATAATCTGCGAGAGACATTTGATCGAGCTTCATTGCTTCTTTATATCCGAAGGAATAACTGTGCCTAATGGATACCTTCGAAGGATATCACGAAGCCAGTGCCTCCCTTACCAGCGTTAACACTGTCCGCAGTCTGGTAGACATGTCAGTGAATGACGCTATAATCTGACGAACGAGAGATGTTCCGTCGTCGAAGAATTCATCTAATCAACGTAATTCAAGCAAAAGAAAAGCAGCTAGGTACCGCCAATTAATCGGAGTGTTTGAAACATTTTCTTGCTTGCTAGCCGCAAATAGTACACGGAGGAGTCTCGTATGGAGAGATACGCCGTGCGTCGTGGAGTGGACGTGCTACAGCCTTGTATACATATATTAAAGAAAGAAGAAAGTTCAGGCGGCAGTGCACAGAGCGTTTGTGAACACAAGGGAGCCTATGGGGCTGCAATTTATCACCTGCCCATTCCACAGAGGGCCACAGACATTTCAAGCAACGCTATGGGCATTCGCGATTGCCCTCGCCCGATTGAATATAAGCACTGGCGAGTGCTGCTATCTCAATAAAATCTTCGAATAAACGTTTAGGACTGCCCATCACTTGCAGTACAAAAACGCACTCATTGTCGGAGAAATCAGCATTCTTTTTTTCCTCCGGGTTTCATCATGTGACAGAAGACCCATAACTGTGGTTAGTCTTACAAGTGATCTGCACGACCTCAAGATGTGCAAGCCGGTGAAGTATTCACAGTTGCGCAGTTACTATAACACGGCCTTGCAACTTTTCAGAAGCTGGCCTCACTAAAACTGTGTTTTTACGTGGGGACAGAAGCAACTGCACAAATGTAAGGCCGGAGACTTGTAACGCTTTCGGGCATCGATATTACCTCGCATTACTGTCCCAACACAATAAAACTGACCAGTCGTGTAGCCGACCGATCTCAAGGTAAGGCCCATATCCAAAGTGCAGACTGCCAGTCTTGTGGGCGTCGTGCACTGGTAATTTGTTCGGAAGCTTGCGCGGCTAGTGGCCGCGCCAAGACGTCGATTCCGTCTCCCCGCCCATGACAAAACGATCAAGTGAGCAACAGATGACTATGAGTGTGGTGGCTGTCTCGCATATTAGGAAGCCCCGAAAAGTTCCATCTTCGAGTGCACTCCCTAAAGCCCACGAGATCACTCGCACCTTGAGAATAGTGTCCACAGCAGGCGTGACGAATAGTCATCGCACGCTGCCAGTCGTAACGGCAATGTGATAAAGGGCAGCCATGAGCAGCTCGAGTCTCTGCCAAGGCATCTTGTCTCCAGGAATATACAGTGATGGCCCAGCTTGCTGAGAATGAGACCTTGGAGTGTGTGCACCGCAAAACGGCAATGCAAGTAAGAAAACACTCCATAACCGTGGGTCACAAAAGCGACCATACACGCAGGTACACCTAGGCTGCACGTGTAGCTTCGTGCCTATGGTTGCAATAGCTGTTACCAACGAAGGCGCTGAACGCTACAGAAGGGAGGCGTGCAGTAAGCTTGCTCAAGTCTCAGAGCCAATGCAATGTCAGGGTAACGCATCGAACGAAAGAATCGTCCATTGCACCCTGCAGCAACATGTCCTCTAGATTTGCTGTATGCAGATGAAAAGTGAGCAGTACGCCGATGGCAGGGTTACCGGGGCCAGACCACACTTCTGCTGTGGTCACGTCGCACACAACACTGCCGCGTCAATCAGGGCCCAGAAACACACACTATGACAAGTCAACCAAAAGACCTGGTCAGCAAACACATCCTCGCATTTTTCCCGAAACACACTGTCCGTCTCCACCACACAGCAAGAACCGCTGTTAGTAGTCCCCATCAGCACATCTTCAGAAGGTGTAATAAACACTTCACACGGCGGCACACGGTAAATGGCAAGAGGAGTGATGTTGATGTGCACGTTGCAGCGTTCCTTGCCAGGCTGCTAACGGTTCGTGAGGGGCGTCGCGCACGTCCACATTGATGCACGGCGTAGCACGCAGAACGCCGCTCAGGACAGTGAGATGGTGACGTTGATGCCTAGGTTACCGCTGTCGGCAAACAGCTGGGCGATGCTGGTGTCGAAGACGAGGCAGTCACTGCTCATGATGGCCGCCTGGACGCCCTCGTGGATGCTGCGCGGCGTGGCCTCCCAAGTGAGGCGACGCTTGTGGCCGTTGAGCTCGAGCCGGTAGATGAAGTTGTCGGCCTGCTTGCGTGACCCGATCAGCTGCACCACGGCAAAGAACTGCTGGTGGCCGTCGTACTTCTCCTGCTTCTCCAGCACCAGCATGAAGTGGTGTCCAAAACACGACTGCATCATCACCCAGTCGACGGCGCCGGGCAGGTTGATGTCTGTCGCCAGGAACACTATGTCCTCACCTGTGGTGAGGAAAGGACGTACGGAGCACGAGGCTTTTTCACTAAGGACGTGCAAAGGTTATTGCACCTATTCCTTTAGTTTTCGGTGGTTGTGCGACACAAACAAAGACAGAACATCAACACCAGTGTTGCCAAAGCTTTTTCCCAGGTGCAATAAAAAAAACATTGTCATCCAGTGCTCCCACCAATCTCTCTAATGCAATTTCACTTACTTCAGACCATTTACGCCAAATTACTCAATATAACTCCCTATTTTGAAATGAAAGCGCACTACTTAGACGCGGACAAAAAGACAGGGGACAAGCCCTGTTCATGTCTTTCTGTTCACGTCTAAGCAGTGCGCTCTCATTTCAAAACAGTCTTGTATCACCAACTCGCCCAATCAACCATATTGATAATTCCCTATTTCTGAATAACTTACAAATATTTCAAAGCAGTGACTGCCTCTAATTGAGCACAAAATTATTGGAACAATACATAAAATCTTCATTTAAATATAGATTAAGCCTCGTTGTTCTGCCAAGTTTTTATTGCTAGTTCAACATCTATAATCGAATGCCTTTCTTTCACAGCTGAGATTGTTTAAAAAAATGTCGAGGCATGACAAAACTTCTTACAGGACTTTTAGGCAATTTTCTCTTTCTAAGCCCAGAACGTAAGCTCATGACCCAATGTTAAAGATGTGTGGCAGCTGGTGATGTTATTTTTGACAAATTGAAAGCATTGAACCGTGAGAAAATAGATGAACATATATTCCAATTATCTTTATTTATTTCCTGCTACTAACTAATCACTTAATTTACAAAAGGATGAGCACTACAAATAGCATCACGCACTACAGTCATCGATTGATTTTCCAGACTCGGTGGGGACAGCGAAATCGCCTAGAAAAATGATAAAGCCGTGAAAATGAAGTTTATTTGAATTAGAAAAGCCTGAAAAAAAAAAGCCAATAATGGGATGCTTCATACTGTTTTTCAGGATGATCAAATTTGGTTTTGGTTCTATTTGGGTTACGTTTGCAAGCACATTGGCAAATCGTTGGCAAACGCATTGGCGATCGCTGCCACCGACTGTTGCGGGTGGCAAATCATTGGCAAGTGCATTGGCAAAACGTTGGCAAACGTGTTGGCAATTTCTGCCGCTGACCGCTGCGGGCGGCAAAGTTGGTGGCTCAATGAAACCAAGCAAACAAAACTTGATGCCGGTTGCAAAAAGATGCATGCGACGTCTTGCCCATTTGGTGGGGTTTAATAACTTGGTCTTTTTTTTTGCACAGACACTGCACAGTACGCAAGCTTCCAGCATTTTGTCACCATCAAAACACTACCGTCACGGCCGCAATCTAACCCGCATGTCCCATGTGAGCCGCCGAGCAACGTGACCACTGGAGTGCTACTGAGCAATCGCGAACAGCAGCGGGCATGTGACGCGCAACACGGCTCAAACGCACTTGGCACACTACTAACACGTGTGCAATGACAATGAGAAAGGCAAATGCCCAGAAAACAAAACGAACATACTGGTGTAATACAGGTAACGATAAGGCTGACTGAAAATGAAAAGTTTTGCCGTTTTGCTAGCCAAGGCAGATCAGACAGGGCCTCCGAAACTGGAAGATTATGCGCGCTTCCAATCTTGGAGGCCACACAAACAGCTACTGCAAGCCAAACCTTAGACAAAAAATCCAACATGGCGGCTTTTACAATCGACCGCATGGTAGCTAGAGGGAGAGGTAACGCGAGCGTAGCGCAAAAGGTGATCCGCTGTTTCATGACACACAGTGGCGGCGCTGCGGTTCGCAGTAAGATGCCTGTTCACCGCGGTAGCCGCGGCTTTCCATATACTGCGGACACGGTGCTCAATTGCGTTATTGGCTGCTCGTTTTGGTATGAGCACGTTAATACATTTAACTTTCTGAACCATGCTGATGTGGTGCAAGTATCTCATACTTATGTTTCGATGCGTCTGTGTAATGTTATAGCACTTCATTTCACTGCACTTCCTTTTGGCTAAGCGGGATCGCTTTTTGAAAACGGTAACCTGTCGTCCTAGTGTGTGATGTGCGACTGAAGTTCATAGCACCTGCATTTGCTAAAATATAGCTGGGCTGATGTAAAAATATACTGTCAGTGCTTGTGTTAACACGGCATCACTTTCATTTGCTACAGGCAGACTTCAATAATAAATATTTATTTTGTCCACAAGACTAATTTACAAGAACATATTTAAATCCAGAAACATGCACGAAGTCAAGAAGCAGCACGAAAACGCATTCCACATACACAAATAAAACAATACAAAAAACAGAGCATATTGAGATGTTGCAAACAAAACATACAATAAAATAAAAATATCAGCGCAGTTTCATTGCGAATCGCAGTATCTTTACCTTCAATAGTGTACCAGTAACAGAATAAAAATGCAGATAATGTGATGTATCTTGCAAAAGAAGAAAAAGCAAGTAATTATTAGATTTATTAAGACGCTAGGACAATGCATGCGGAACATGTGACATCGAAACCCGGACCAGTCGTTTCGCAGCGTATCACTACTATCTACAAACACAACCAGCGTGCTGCGGAAGTGATGTAAAATTTTTTTGCTGAAAGAAATTCAAATGGGAACACTACACTTTATTACAATACACATCCCAATTTCAACAATTTCATTTTCTTCTGCTTTTCGTTTAATTTCATTCTCTTCTGTTTTTGCCTTTGCAAAGAGTGCTCGCTCTTCATTAGGAAAGGAAGCCTATATATTATCTTGGCGAGAATTACGTAGTGCTAGGTACACCCAATCAGCTTTGCAAGCTGAAGGAATGACTTCAACTCAATAAGGCTATCACAGCAGTGTGCAAGTGTTGCCTACAGCAGTGTGTAAACAGCAGTGTGTAAGTGGTGCCACGAGCACATTTAGTTTCTCTGATCGGTATAAAAGGCCTCGTCTATCGACTGCTTGAATGAGGACCCAACCTTTTTTTTTTTTTTTTTTTTGAAGCAGTTTTCATTCTTTGACCGATACTGGGGGAGGTTAGCGAACACAGTCGGAATCGCATCGCTTGTTGGTACAGGTTGATCGGGAGGAATCGTTCTCGGGTGCGTTAACGATCGCACAAAATACCGCTAATCAAAATACAGCTTGCAAATTCTTGAGCTTGTGTCGAGAACTTGATCTAAATGTGTTGCTGCAGGCTGTCGTGTTTTTATAGGTTCAGGCTCTTTTGGCTCGGAAAACGACACACGTTTGCCAGATCTCTACGAGACGCACCTAGACTCACAGCCAAGTGCGAAGCAGTGTGTCTGCGTCTTTTTTTTAGGCTCGAGTCCATGCTGCTAGCAGTAAAGCACCCAAACTTGCACGGTCAAACAGCGCAATCTTGTAAAACGCCGCGGAGAATGCCCAAAAGACACACGACGATGCCCGGCACAACACAAAATAAGCACGTGAGCAAGCGCAGGGACCACCGAACTGCCTGCCGCAGCGCCGCTGGGTGTTTGCGGCTGTTTTATGAAGCAAGGGAGAACTCTCTCTGCCACCAAAGTGCTGCTCGCGCCACCTCCCCCTCTAGCCACCATATCGCGCGGCATAGCTCAAAACAAACGATTTAGTCCGAAAAAGCGGTGGCGGAAATGCATTCGTGCAATAGGAACCGGATGGCACATTTGTGAAGTCCGAATTTTCGGAGTTCAACAAATCTAGCGGTGACTGCAGTTACTTGCAATACAAATGAAAGTCATTCATACTCGACGAGTACATGCATAAGAACACTCGAATGGCTCGAGTAAAAGGCATTAGGATGAAAAAAAAAAAAAAAAAAAAAGATGCATTTGCAGCTTTTTCATATAGTTACAAATATGCCATCAGAGTGCTGTGGTTGCTTTCAGCCACTTGACAGCTTTACCTTCACAAAAGTAGCTATTAGTGCGAAGCGATTTCCCTCTCCGTGCCTTAAAGAGGAGCTTCTTTTTTTTTTTCTCCTCTCTCCGTGCACGGCCTTGAAAGGAGAAGGGTCTCTACGAAACGGAAAAGGGAGAAGCGTGGCACAGGCGCGTCGCAGATCGGCGTTTGAGAGAGAGCAAACAATCAGCCACTGTCTTTTCTTTCCTTTTCTTCTTTTCCTTCATTGTGCGCAGCATTGAGCATGAACACATCCCCCACCGTGGTCCTTAAGAACACTTTTTTTTAATGCATCTGTTCATTTTATTTCGGTATGGTAGCCAGTGCCGTTGACGATCGAAACAACGTTAAATTCAGAGGTGCCGCCACGGGTTGGGCATGGTGCTGAGAGCATTTTCAAAGCGTGGTATGTTCGAACTAACCGTCGCAAGTGCTTGTGCATTCAAATTACAGGGCGTTTTCGATGAATGGAAGACACATAGCTTTGACGGGACTTCAGCGCGAGTTTTAATTAACTAAAAGTTCGAATTAAGCGTGTTCGAATTATTGAGTGAGATTCGGCTGTGTTTATTTACCGTCGCACTCGTGGTGGCGTAGCAGTACATCAGGCTGCGAGGCAGATTCCTTCTTTGCATGCTTATAGGTGTGTGCCCATCTGAGCATACATTGCTACAAACTGTTATAACCGATTTAACAAAGTAATGAATATTGAAATAATTGTGGCTCCCTATCAACTTCGTTACAACAAGGTTTGAGTGTAATGAAGTTTAAGTATATTCCAAGAAACTGAATCGGCCATGCCAAAAATTGTTTAGATTAGCGGCCTAGTTCAAGCACGATAATAGTCTCAAAAGCAGTCGGGATGTACGAAAAATGTCAATCGACTGCGATGGTATTTTCCCGTAGTTCTGACGGCTAAAAAGGCGCAAGTCAGGCTTTTTAAAGACTAAACATACTTTAGGGCGAAATTGTATTCAGAGGAAATCAAGTACTATCACTGTACAGGCAAGTAACACTCGTAATGAAATAGTGGCGGCAAGCACGGACATTGGGCGTCAACAAATCTCATCATTTGCACAATGCATTGTCCTTTATACATGGACAGGAAATTTCAGCATTAGGGGAGATGCTACTCGAAGACACTTTTTCTTTAATATTCACCCTAGAGCAATGCAACTTGAGCTCTTTATGGAACTTTTTATGCTGATTTAAATTATATAATTAGTTGTCTTGCAAGTTACACAATTTCAGCTCTGCAATATGACAAAGTTACAACCTTAACCCTTTTGCCCCCCCTCTTTTCATCCCTAAAATTCTGTAATTGTTTACCACTCATAGTTCATAATGCTTCAAATAAAGTGTAGAGTGCAAATAACTAATTAGGAAGCACATACAAAATATCTAGTACGCGAGAAAAATAATAGACGTAAAAAGTCCATATTTCACCTACCCTAGTAAAGGTATACATACAATTTTTTTATTATACAATAAAATATTGAAATTTAAACTAGATAATTGCATTTGCCATACTTTGTAAAAACTTTTGGCAAAATTTCATGCAGATCCGAGCACTAGAAGTGCCCGAAAAAGAAGGGGCACATTGGAAAAAATGGTAAAATTTGTGTTTTGAGAAAAACGAGTTTTAAAGTTAAAATTGAGTTTTTACTAATGAAAGATATTATTAAATCAGATGAAATTTGCACACCAAAAAGAACAACCCTTTTTGTAGTGGCCACTGCTACTAAAATACGCCAGCCCCATGAGTTTGTCCCTCTCGGTGTTTTCGAGCCGACTCCTCACAGACATTTCGCTCACAGACAGGGCCATGAAACGCTTGCCAAACTTCCGCTCCATCTGGTAGAGCCTTGTGCCAACTGCAAGCTAGGAAGAAGTTCGAAGGGCTCGTAAATCCGAACTAAGTCCAGTGTCATGCCATTTTGCAGCCATGTTTGTGTACATAATGGCAATGTCGTCCCTGCTAAGTTCTCTTACTGCGAGCTCTTTCGACCTCTCAAGATTGGCGCTGACGTCATCCATTGCCGCATCACGAACTTTCCAGCTGACGGGTGTGAAGGACTTTGATGCATTGGCTTTTGCAAGCCAACAACTGCCGCAAATCGGACCAGCTGCTCGTAGCCTATTCCTACAGAGCGCGCCACACAACGGCTTTCACTTGCGAGCAATGCCTTTTTTCATTCATAAAGAAGATAATTACACGAAAAAAGCATTGTTCAGCTACGCTGCTCGACAAGACATGGACCCCGCAAATAGGTTTCACAGCACATACAGGCGCGCAGCGGCCAATGGCGGTCCCCGATTCGTACCATGTGATAAGCGAGTCGCGGCGCTCGAAAAACGCGCAGGAGAGTTATTATTGTTATTATTTCTTGGGCTGCATCAGCGAAAGAAACTTGCTATTTGAAGAGTGCGGCTCGACTCTTCGACTCATGCGATCAACAATGGCGAGTGGCGGCGCATTATCGGCGGCAAGGTGCTTGAAGACCGCACACTTTCGACCTTTTAACAGGCACCTTGTGCTCTTTAGATAAAATTTTCAGCATTTCGAGTTAAGTCTCGACCTGTATTATTTATTTTATAACAGTAGAGGTACTAATTTTATCAAAACAGACGAAAATAAAAAATCTGTAATTTTGAAAAAAAAACTCGTTTTTCGACCCGCATCTCCCTTTTAACGAACTTGACTTGTCGCACTATGTCCGCCACCTTATCATAAGAGTCTCAAGCTATCTCGAAAGTTTTCTAAACAACGTGCCTCAGCCTTTGCCAAGCAGCAGCGAGTCTTTGCGGGTGAAGCCCAATCACGTGACAAAGAATGTGGTGCATGTGACATTAGTAATGTTGAAATTCTGCAAGTGCCGTCTCTGGTGGACCCACCTTGGAGTGTCGTGATGGACTTGTGGGAGTGGACAAGGTGAGCCATCACTTGGTCGAGAGAGCCTTGCCACTTGCACGACGCTCCGGGACAGGGGCACAGATACGGCCTGCAGCATGCCGCCACAAGAAGAGTAAGAGTAGACATTAGAGGGACATGCTTTCACATGGGGCAGAGTCTCTTATTGAGCCCTAACCACAGGTATAAGTTGCAGTGTACCCTCTTCCTATGAAGGAAGAGGGTGCACGGCTACATGTAGTGCGGCTAGCCGCTTCAGCTTGTGCCTCTTGACATGCACTGAAACTTCGATATAACAAACCCACATGGACAATGGAGAATAGTCTAGCAACTGTGGTAGTGTTAGGAATATACCTTCATAATGAATTTTTGGATATAATGAAGTGATTTGCGTGCATGATACAACTTTGTCATAACAAGGTTTGAGTGTAGATCCTTTTCATAATCCACGAGTCCATGCTCCCTAGTGCTGCGAATTCACCTAGCTGCTGGAAACGCCTGCGATCCTTCAAGTGGAGACTAGGTTCTAGTAGCACAAGCTGGGACTTGTCTATCGTAAGCGTTTATGTCAAGAGAGCCGATCACACGTTTTCCATGTCATATTGCAATCAAACGGCCCTTGAACACACTGTTTGCAGACGTGACTGGCTGCTACTAGTTGGGTTAATCGCACTGCAGTAAAGCTAGCTTTGCAGTAATGAAGAAAGTCTATTTAATGAACAGCTAAAATGTGTTAGTTTTCTTTTGCTGGTCTGCGAGAAGAAGCACAACAGTGGCTGCCCCAAGTTACTACAAAAATTAAAAAAAAAAACCCTACATACCATCCTAGCACATGCAGACTACATCAATGGATATACAATAGAATCCCTCAGTATCGTACGAAATCGCCGGGGAAGAGATTTTTTTTTGTTCTAGCGAGAACTTTGTTGTTAAAAATCGCAAAAATATGCACCAATTACTTTGCACAACTAAAATCTAAAGAAGTTGCCAATCTTTCTCTGTTTTACGTTGCCTTGAAGGAGTTTGATGTCTCGAGCCTCTCAAAAAATTTTGCACAGCTTCCTCGACAGCAGGAGTGCGAAAAAAGTGTGAATGGCGTAGAAACCATTAAAAACTTCATGTGAGTGCGCTCATACTTCTTGCGTTTTGTTGCACACAATCACCGTCACCCAACTAAATATAAACAGCAATGGTTGCTTGTTGCCGGAAACGCACACGTGTCCAAGTTGTCGAATAAGCAGCGCTGCGGCTTTCGAACTTATGGGTTCCGAACCAGCTCACTGGTTGAAAAAGATGTCCTAGGTTACTACCTGAAACTTTCGTTATTGCGGGAGTAACATGAAATTTCTTCACTGTTGAGAGATGGAAACTGCACTAAACTCTCTGGACGTTCACCAGGACGCCGAATTCCTTCGTTGTCAGAATTTCATTCTTGAGGGCTTTCGTTTTTGAGAGGTTGAACTGTCACTATGTTAGCTAATACATTCAAGCCTCATTTTAATGAAGTTGTATCTTACACAAAAATAGGTTCGTTATATTCAAAAATTCCTTACAAGGTACACCGTATTTACTCGCATATTGGTCCCACTGACATAATGAACACATCCCCCACCTTGGTTTTTGAAAAAAAAAAAAAAAAAAAAAAAAACTCTTTTTAATGCATCTGTTCATTTTATTTCAGTATGATAGCCAGTGCTATTGACGATAAAAACAATGTTAAATCGAGTCATTATATCACAAAATAACAATGCAACAAAAGTCAAAACATAGTTTAGCAACAATGTTAAACAGTTGTGTGAGCGCGGAGGGCGTCTATCAAAATTTGAAAGTCGCGCTTTTTGCGGCAAAGCGCCATCTGTCGAATGCAGAAGAAACCTCTTTTTTGATAATGCCACGCAAGCACAGCAACACAAAAACAAACTGAAAACAAAGCGCGTGGCCTCCCCAATGATGGGCCTACGACATAGAAACATGCCGTGCGTCCGCCATCTTGGAAGGCACGCAAAGCGCAACCACGACGACGGCGCGTCGTGCACCCGCAATGTCTACCGCAATATATGTGTGCCGCCATCCGACGCTGCGTTTTTGTTCTTGGGTTTGTCGTAAATTTTTTTTGGGACACCTGTGGCGCAGGGCACGTTTGGCCGTGTACGCTAGCTACACGGCGGGTTACAAACAACATGCGCTGTAGCTTGGGAACTGAGCGGCTGGACGACACTTTGGCATCGATTTGTGCGCTTTCGTTACGGGAGGAAACAAGAAGAGCTTCTGGCTACAAAAAAGATTTGTCGCACATTTCTCGGGCCAAAACAAGCAAGGCCATCATGCGAAATTTGCGCTGTTTTAATTCCCGTGACTTTTTTTGTCTGCCGCGTCATGAACCCTCCCCCTAAACTGGGGTCAACTTTTATGAAAAAAAAAAAGTGGGTTCATTACGCAAGTAAATATGGTATTCCTGACATTAGATATATATTCCAAGACTAATTTTCATTTACTTCTTTATAACTCATGAGTTCTTTTATTTGTGTTCGTTATATCGAAGGTGGAGACTACATCAATTGAAGCTCTGGGCTATCCTGACCTGAACTCGCAGGCCTCTTCGTGCTCTGGCTTATCAGAGTGCGACAGCAGAGCCGGGCAGCCTGTCAGAGAGTACTTGCAAGGGAAGAACACAGTGTTGGCCACTTTCTCCATGGCAAGGTTGCGTATGTTGCCTGCACAAGGAAGTGGAGAGCCAAAACATCAGTGCCTAGTAAACCAAGACAAGGCTGCTAAGCGCTTGTTAGCACTGCACACTGAGACATGTACACACACACAAAAGGAAAAATGTCACACCACAATCCACTGGTTACAAGCTGTGTCACTGTAGGCATCATGTGACAACTTGAACCTTCTTTCCAAATGTATAATGTGGAATTTCAAATTAACACTCATCAATGGGAATGATACATTGACTTGTTTTGCTTGTATCAAGCATGCACAAGTACAGATGCACATATGCAATCAAAAGAAGAAAAAAAAAACAGACACTACAAATACATTACAGCACCACTTCTAGAGTTTTTATTATGTACACTAGCTGAAATTCACCCACACAGAAAGGTACAATGGGCATGCATGTTATGTAAACACAAATAGCGTGAATATCTATCAGGATGCAATATGTCTTCAGGAGATATGACTTGGCCGCTAATAGAACTGCAACTGTAAAAGACGTGTTTCGCAAGTACTCAAGACGATCAAAGAGGAGTAGGCATGTAAGGACAGTTACATCTGGATATAAGAAAACTGACGAATTCTCGAAAAATATTCATTACAAAATAGGATTTCGTTACATGCACGTTCGGTACGAATATTCGAAAAATCAATGCACAAATTAAACAAAGGGGAGAGTGAACAGCGAACTTTTGAGTAGGAACAGCGAACTTTTGCGCTCAAGTAGGAACAGCGAACTTTTGATTTTAAGGGCGCGTACGCGATCGCTGGCGCGCGTGCTATATCTCTGTATGCATCAATATCTTTCAACGCGAAGAGACTGCGTTAAAAGAGGACTTCTCCCTGGAGCGGCCGTATTCACAGCGTTTTGAACGCGTTCCGCGATATCGAATCCACGAGTTGGCTGCCAGCCTTACTTTTTGTATAACATAACAATTTGTCGCGATCGCATTCATTGCATTGCATTCTACGCACCTTCGTGTTGCCAGAGCTAATCGGCCATGTGCGAAGTCTACGGTCCGGCCGGTCCGGCGAACTCACGCCGTGAAGCTAGATATATGTCATGTGCTGGACAGGCATTCGCTAGACGGAAGTCACAGAAGCGAGTGACGAGTTGATGACGATGACGATCAGAAGAGTTGACCTCCGAAGATCAGCGTTGCCAGATTGGAAGAGTGCTCCCGACCGTCGAACAAAACTTCGCCAGATTTTACTAACACTTCAAAAATGGCGGTTATGGCGTCATTAATGCTTTGCAAAAGCCCTCCCTCGGAGATAATATGTCCGTTGTTTATAGCGATCTGTATGGAGAAGAGCTATAACGATATGTACGCCGAGACGCAAATGAAGCGGCCCCCGACGGGGGCCACTCCACGCGCACGCAGTGAAACTATGCACGCGCTCACGGAGAACAACACGTCAAATCGCGGGAAATGATTCGGTTAAAAGCGCTCGCCTAATGCAGCGCGGCTCCACATACGCGACACTAACTGAAAGCGTGGCACTGCAAACGCAAAAGTAGCCGCGACTTGGGCGCGATTGCGGTGGTGCCTGCATGGAAATTCACGGGAGCGTGATGACGGCTATCGACGAATGCGGCGGCACGTCATCGCGACAAACCTGCCAACGATAAACATCTTAAATCAATCTAAATCGTGCGCTGCCTGCACGGCAGTACGTGTGGCTTATAGCGGCTTGGCACTGTTACGGCTCCTGTGAGCGTACCGACCGCGCCGTCTGCTGCAGCGCGCGGGACCACAAGTGCGTACCGCTCGTGAAAACGAAGGCAACTCGGCGCCGCATTGAATCGACAAAATGGTCTTCGCAGCTTTGCTCGGTCCCGTGCTGAACAAGCACGAAGAAAAAAATAATAATCATCTCTACGCAAGGGCAAATGCACGCGCATATGCTACAGGGCGCGACGCTGATGGCGTCAGCTTAGTAGGCGATGCACTGCACGCAACTAGCTAGGGGCGCGATGAGCTTGACGTATACGATGGTAACGCGTTTCGCGCCAGTTTTCGCTAATGGATCGCCGTACTATCGTACGCGCACATGTCGTATAGCCTGACGAGTCGTCCGTCAGCTGTGCTGCTACTTCAGCACGTATACTTTCTTCATAGTTTCGGAATGATTTCATGGTAGCGGATAAGGTCATGCGAATGAGCTTGAAGTGTTTTTTTTTTTTTTTTTTGCGCAATGGCAAACATAGAGAAGGCCATGCACTTTCGATAACGTTACAATGGCGTCATCACATAGTTCTCCGTCGCTAACGGCGGCGCGCGTAAGGTGACAGACGGATTAAGTTCCGCTGCATTCTCGACAGCGCCTTTGAAAGCTCGTCGTACGCGCTCGCGCGGCAACGACCTTTGCAATCAACACGCAACCAACCTCCCGTTACGCCATCGCTGCGATCTCGCCAAGGTCATTATACTGCCGTCGGCAGCCTGTGCGATGAAGGGGGTCGCGACGCGGCAAAATAGTGCCCCCCCCCCCTCGCCACCGGGAGTTGTGGCTCCGTAAACAAAAACGGCGTATTCGGGGCGTCTTTCTAACGCACATGAGTAATCATCTATATCTCGCGCATTATCGCTGCGCGCCCGGTACACCTCGGGTCACGATCGTGCCGCCATCAGCGTACCACGCCATTCTTGGTCGGCAAATGGCGAGCCTCGGGAAAGGCAACGGAAGCAAGCGAGATAACGAGCATATTGCTATGTAGTTAAACAACAACAACAAAAAAAAAAACGCCGCAAGTACTCTTATTTCCCTAAGTGGCTTGACTGGTGAGAACAGGGGAGAAAAATTAGACAGAAAACTGTAAAATCGGGGCCTTTCGAGCTAAAACTTAATAATGTGGGAACCTGGATGAACTGCAGTGGCAAATCCAGAGGGGGGTGGCGGTAATGGCGATCGCCCCCCCCCCCCAAAGCCTGTCGGCCACCCTCCTCCTCTCTTTAGTGCTTGCCGTCCACCTGCTGTCACCAATCGGGACAAATGAGTGGGACCACTTTGACCACACTTTACAGTATTTAGGCTATGACAAGAGTGTTTGGCTCTATTAATTGGTCATATCATTATCATTGTACCACCTCCCACTCCTGCTTGGGCCATTTTTATGGCCTGCAGTACTTCATAAATAAATAAAAACAATAAAGTAATGACTATGCCCCCCTCTCCAGTGTTACTTCAAGCGGCCACACCCCCCCACCACTAAAATGAGTGGCTGGATCCACCACCCCTGATGAATTGTGACTACCAAGGCTGCTTTAATAATCGCATAGACTTAAGTACACGGCCGTTCAGTGTTACACAATCAAACCAGTGGCCTCATTCATGCTCACTGGTCTTCATGGCAGACACAAAAGCTTTTTTTTTTTGTAAGTCCTACCACATAAACAAAAAGGTACAAAAGGTTTGTTCAATGTGTGGATTGAACCCAAGACATCACAGTCACGAGCTAAACTATTACAGTCTTATGCTTTCTGGCAAGTACAGATGGTGACATATATATGTTTTTATTTTTGTGCACAATAACTGGTTATAAAAACAATTGTACTATTTCCAACATAAATATATGATTGAGTAAAAGATTACTGGTGGGAAGAAATTGCACCTTTTTATTATTTGATATTAGACTCTAATTCATAGCTATATGTATTCTATTCGTATTTAAAAATTTTGATATTCGCACACCCCTAGTTTTCGGTTTGCAAGTAAGGGAAGGGCAAATCAGCGCAGGCCTGCCTGCCCGCCTACTCGCATGCATTTTGGCATGCATTTTAGCTCGAGCATGCCAAAATGCATGCTCGAGCCAAAATGACAATCCGGGGCGAAATTGTAAGACTGTTCATGGGGAAAATTCGTTATATCAAGGTTGTCTTCCGCTGTTACTTTGTTACACAGAAGTCACACACAAAAAAAAAAAAGAGGAACATGCGCTTATATGGAGTAAAAGCGTAGAATAGAAAAACTTCGTAATGTTGAGGAATTCGTTATATGGAGGTTTGTTATAGGCAGGTTTAACTGAAATACAAGGTTCATGCACAGCCAAGCCCCACAAACGCTTGTTTGCCTGCAAACCGCACCAGTTGTGAAGCTGGGCACGCCACTGCTGCAACTGACAGATATGGCTTCATTTTTGCAAGCAATGCATGACCAAATGATTTGATTGATTTGATTGATTTGTGGGGTTTAACGTATCAAAACCACCATATGATTATGAGAGACGCCGTAGTGGAGTTCTTTATTGTGCACCCAAATCTGAGCACACGGGCCTACACCATTTCCGCCTCCATCGGAAATGCAGCCGCCGCAGCCGGGATTCGATCCCGCGAGCTGCGGGTCAGCAGCCGAGTACCTTAGCCACTAGACCACCGCTGCGGGGAATGCATGACCAAATGCAACGGAACTAGAGCAAGCCAGTTATGGGAACTGTACATACCACAGTGTGGTTAGTGCAATGGATAAAAGTAGTATGCATCGTCAGCCAGCTGCAAGCCCAGATGTATGTATGATGCAAGAACTCTCCTTTAAACACTGCCATTTTTAGTGCACCAGAGCTAAGCTGCAGAAATGCATGGGTTGATGGGCATTGCTTGGTGCAGCAAGGTACCTTTAATTGCCCGGTTTACAAGAAAAGAAGGCTACCTTTACAGAATTACAGTCATGCAAAAATGAAACTTGGACCAGTCTCGCAACTTGCCAAAAGCCAAGTGAACTAGTGTGGATGATGGGTGTTGCAGGCTTTCTGGCGGAAATGCCGAGGAAGAGCTTCCTTCGGAGGATCATTCACATTGCCACTATTGTTCCAAGACATGATGTGCCCAGCACCTCTCTCGATTTACCCGAAATGTGCCGTGCTGGAACCCCAGAAACAACCAGCGGCACCCACAGCTCTCATAAGTCCATGTTCCCATTCGCTAGCTACAACCAATGCTTGTGTAGAGCTAGCAATTAGTACTTGGAAACTCCAGGTGTGCTTTTGCCATCGCCGTGA